GGGGTGAGCCTATTGTCATATACCGGGCACAATTCCAGACTCTGTGCTACTACTGAGATTTTTTAAATACTTTGCCCGACCCGGGAATTGATCCCGTGACCCCTTGCGCGGCAGTCATATTTGCGAACACTCGGCCAACGAGGCTGTATGTTATAATTTGTGTTTTACATTATTAATTACTTTATGTGTGTGTTACCATCATTATGTATTATGTTTCTCATAACAGTTTTGCAGCTTACCACCTACCACATACATTTCTGCACTACCCAAAGGATGACTGGCAGAGAATGCTGTTAGCATTAAGTCTTCTTTATGCAATTGTATAAAACTTAAATAAATAAATAAATTATGTGCTCTCAGTAGTGGCAGTCACTCACTCAGTAGACATGTTATCAGTCTGTCACTGGGTACGTGATTGACACCACTGTCTGCCACTCATCAGTTGCTGACCCATCAAACAATATACAAGCTAATAGGATCAACAGTGTGACGATTAAAATGTATATGTTACTAGCAGCCCGTCCCAGCTTCACACGGGGTAGACAATGATTTATTTTTGTAAATTTGGATTGTTGTAGTGACATAACTACAATAGTTGAACATATGCTACCGCGGAGTTTTTTGTAGACATTATGATGTTCTTCAATATTGTTGTACATTATTTTGTTCTATCGCTAATAGTTTCGGCAGCGCATTCGAGGAAAGACATTTTAAGACTCATTTCTCTAGACCTTCGGTTACATTGTTCAAATTTTACCAAGGATCCCTAATTTTTTTCGAAATGAAATGTTTCCTATGTCAAATTGGAAGAATGTAGCATTCTATTGGTGAAAGAATTTTTTAAATCGGCCCAGTACTTTTTGAGCCTATTCATTACAAACATACAAAAATAGGTACAAATCTGTCCTCTTTATAATATTAGTATAGATAACTTTTGTGAGATATACAGGTATACATACATATATACAGATATACATTTACTCACGCACTGCTGAACTGCTGTAGCAGCGCGACAGTCGCCGCGTCGCGGGTCGCGGAATACTGCTCATGAATATGACTATCTACCATGGCTTCAAACTAGTCGAGTTCCTCGTCAAATAATTACGTGAGTAAGCCGAAAAGCATAATAACTAATTTCGAAATCTTCTTTATAATCAGTTTAGCAGGTCATCATCATTATTGTATCACTCAGTAGTGGCTGTCACTCACTCAGTAGGCATTGTATGAGTATCTGTCACTGGGCGCTGAGATAGCCATTACTGGTAATCACTATTCATCAGCGAGCTAAGTCAATCAATACGTGTACTTCATGTGCCTCAGTAATAATTTTAATCGTCATCAGTGTATCACTCAGGAGTGGCTGTCACTCACTCAGTAGACAGTGAAATTCTGTCACTGGGTGTTGTGACATCAGTTACCAAGTGATGTTTCTACTAAATGACAAAAAGGGGTAGGCAGAGGTGCACATTACGGCACTTAATGCCACTGTACAATGTAACACCCACTTTTCACTAATTATGTTATGAATCCCATGTAATAGGGGGTGAGCCTATTGCCATATACCTATTTATTTTCTACTAATATTATGAAGATATCTTTGTTTGTCTGTATTTCCTGACATTTGTGTACGTTCAGCATTTGATCCATTCATAATGTTTTCGGCTTATTCACATTGTGTAGCAGTCGCCGTGTCGTGGAATGGTGCTCATGAATATGAGCCTCTAGCATGGCTTGAAACTAGTCGAGTTCCTTGTCAAACAGTTACGTAAGTAAACCGAAAACACAATAATTAATCATCAAGTTTATTTACCATTGTGACCAAATCGTGTCCAATTTATTTATTTATTATTAATTTAAGTTTTATACAAATGCATAAGGAAGACTTAATGCTAACAGCATTCTCTGCCAGTCATCCTTTGGGTAGTGCAGAAATGTATGTGGTAGGTGGTAAGCTGCAATTTAAGGTTTTAAAAAAAAATTATGACTCAATTATGTTTTTTTATGGAATAGGAGGCAAACGAGCAGACGGATCACCTGATGGTAAGCGATCAGCGCCGCCCGTGGACACACGGAACACCAGAGGCGTCACAGGTGCGTTGGCGGCCTTTTAAAAAGGAATACGCTCTTTTCTTGAAGGTTTGAAGGTCGTATCGGTTCGGAAATACCGCCGACGACAGATCACTCATCTGTCACTCAGTAGCGGCTGTCATGCACTCAGTAGACATTGTGTGAATATCTGTCACTGGGTGCTATGATGGACATTACTGGTGATGATTAATCATCAGTTCCTGCTGTCTCCATGGTCTTTATCACCAACCTCTTTTAAATTTTAAGGAACCAGTCAAGATAGGTGATTATTAACGAGATTTTGGTTTCTTTTAACCCCTCGAGCGTCCTTATGAGCACCCGGTGGATCATAAGAAAAAATGCTCCATGCTGCTTTCTCTTTTATAAAATCTATTATTAATGTTTTGTTTTTATTTTGACTTTATTTTTTATTTCTATTGTAATAATCCTTGTTTTCGTGTGCCAATGGCCAAATAAGTGCATTTTCTTTCTTTATTTCTTTCTTTTTCCAAATTTCACGTGTGCACCCGTTAGATCATAAGGAACGCGGACGCTCGACAGGTTAAGCGATACCTAACAGTACAAGTAAGGAGTTAGTTTAGCTGGTCCGTTAAGCTTAATAATTTTAAATTTAAAAGAACCCCTAAGGTAAGATAGGTGACTTAACGACATTTTGGTTTCTTTTAAGTGACACCTAACAATACAAGTAAGGGGTCAGTTTAGCTGGACCGTTAAGTAAAATAATTTTAAATTTTAAAGAAACCCTAAAGTAAGATAGATGACACTTAACGACATATTAGTTGTCACTAATCTATAAATGACATCTAACGGTACAAAGATCGTGACTTAAGAACTCTTAGCTAGAGATAGTTGGTGGAAACGGCTGTATGTGTTGCTGAGATCATCAGTCCTCAGTGTGATTCAGTTGTCACTGACTCAGTAGACAGTGTGTCAGTCTGTCACTGGGTATGTTACAACATATATACACTGATACATTCATCATAGTACGTCACGTCGTTGTGTGAAGGTGAAGAAATATTTAATTTTATTTTTTTTACATTTGATTGCCTCGTTGGCCGAGTGGTCGACAGTGCAACTGCCGGGCAAGGGGTCTCGGTTTCGATTCCCGGGTCGGGTAAAGTATTACTGGATTTAAAAAACATCTCATTAGTAGCACGGAGTCTGGAATTGCGCCCGGTATATGGCATGACATGGGACTCATAAATAGTGAAAAGTGGGTATTACTTCTGTGTGCACTTCTGCCTACCCCCTCGGGGACAATAGGCGTGATGTTATGTTTGTTTTTTACATTTGATGGGCCAACGTTTGCCCACTATCTCGCCTGGTGGTGCACGATGACGCGGTCTACGATGGAGCACGTCGTCCCATAAGCAACCTATTCACTCGGGCCTTGAAGACTCCCAGGTTATACCCTTCAGGAAATACAGACTCTGGCAAAGAATTCCACTCCTTAGCAGTACGCACAAGGAAGCTTGATGCGAAGCGCTTCGTGCGTGTGGGCGGAACATCTACCATGAATCGGTGACGGTTTGCTGATTTTGTATTAAAATGTGTGTGTGTGTGTGTGTGTTTGAATAAAGATAAATAATAATATTTCTTGTCTTTTATTTTCTAAGAAAATCGAATTCACTAAGCATGTCTGACAAACATCGAATATGATAGAATATTTTTTTTTTATTATGCTGGGTCGGGCAAAGTATTACTGGGTTTTTTAAAAACTCTTAGTAGTAGCACGGAGTCTGGTGGTATATGGTACTCTATTCTATTATTCTATTCTATTAAATGGGATTCAAAACATAAATAGTAAAAAGTGGGTGTTACATTGTACAGTGGCATTAAGTGCCGTAAAGTGCACCTCTGCCTACCCCTTCGAGGTTAAAAGGCGTGATTTTATGTTATGTAATTTTGTTACGGGACAACCTGATAAAGGAGCAGATGGATCTCCTGATGGTAAGCAATCGGCGTCAGCCATCGATTCATAGAACATCAGAAGCGTTACAAGTGCTGCATCCGGCCTTTTGGGGATTAGGAATTTGAGGGATTCAGGGATTGATTCATGGATTGGTCACGTCTTGCGATCCCCGACGCCGGGAGTGTCCTTTGCGACGGCTGGGCTGTAAGGACGCGTCCCGCCTCCTCCTTAGCTAGCATGACTGCTTCGCAAAAGGAGGAGACGGCATCCCAGTCCCCCTCGCTCCGCATCATGGCCTGCACTAGGCCCGGACGCGAGAGGTCGCCATCGCCGATCACTTCCCTGAGGGCACGGCGGTGCTCAGCCCACGCAGGACATTCTCCCACTGTGTGTTCCACCGTGTCCTCAGAGCGGTCCTCGCAGTGATGACACCCGGGCGTTTCCTCCCGCCCCATCAGACACAGGTACCTCCCGAAACTTCCATGTCCGGTGAGGACCTGCGTCAGGCGGTAGGTGAGGACGCCGTAGCTTCTCTCAAGCCACTCCTCAAAGAGGGGTCTTACCGCTGCAATGGCAGCGAGCCCAGCCCTCGGTTGCGACAGTCGTTGCTGCCATTCCGCCATGAGATCGCGCCGGAGCTCATCCCGCCACGCACTTATCTGGCACGGCAGCGGAGTGTCGCCCCGGCGACGTGCCTCCGATACACGCGCGCGAGCACCTTCGCCTCCAGATCCCACGGCGGTAATCCGGCAAGGAGGTTCGCCGACTCCCCGGAGATAGTGCGGTATCCGCGGATCATTCGGATCGCCATGACTCTGTGACATGAACAGCGCCCGAGCGGGACGCCGCAGCATGTAGAGGGCCATGGACCGCACGACCCCGGGGTATAACCTCCGGCAGGAGGCGTTTGGCCACCCCCGTCCTTTCCAACTTAGGAACCAAACGTCGGAAATGCTTCACGTAGTACATTTAGGACGGCTAAGAATTTATTATTACTTACCTTATTCGTCAAACAGTCTTGGAAGTCCTTCTTCATAACGGAGACGGAGACTCTGTCTTGAGGGCGCTTCGGTCCGCTCACAGATGTCACTACTGTCGACAGGTCTAGTTCTACCACCTGGAAAATAAGACGTTTCATATGAATGATTTAGGAAATGCTATAAAGTTTAGTTTTATAGAATTAGGGTATCATAACATAGGTATATACACAATGGTGTTAAAAAAAATGGCTAGCGTTTTGCCGTGAGGCGTACCAATATTAAATCTATACTAATATTATAAAGCTGAAGCTGAAGCTGCTTTTTTTTTGTTTGTTTGTTTGAACGCGCTAATATCCGAAACTACTGGACCGATTTGAAAAATTCTTTCTATGTTTTTAATATAAAAGGAGCCTATTGCCATACACCGGGCACATTTCCAGACTCCGTGCTACAACTGAGATATTTTTAAAAAACCCAGTAATACTGTGCCCGACCCGGGAATCGAACCCGAGACCCCTTGCCAGGCAGTCGCAATTGCCACCACTCGGCCAACGAGGCAGCCTCAAAAAAAAATTAAGTCGCGTTTAAATATAGTTCTGTCTCAACAAATTCTTTGTAAAAGGATAGAGATGGCACGATATTTAAGTACTACTTTAAATTGAGTAGCCTTTCCATTCGGGCGTGAACCCCATAATACCGACTTCTACTCCTACTCCTTCTCCGTTCATGCAGTGAGACTATGGAACTCGCTCCCGCCGAACATTCGGGACGCCAAGTCTATATCTATCTTTAAGAGACAAGTGAGAGAACATTATCTTTCCTCCTGAAATATAGATTTGTTTTTCTGTATTTATTTATATTGATGTTGTTACATGTGTCGTGGTGGCCCGGAGGGTCGTAGTGGCTCGGAGGTTTAAGACGCCCACTTCTCATGCATGAGGGTGCGGGTTCGAAACCTACCAACGGCAAGTACCAATGTGACTTTGTCCGAGTTATATGTACTTTCTAAGATTATTTAGACACCACTGACAAACGGTAAAGGAAACATCGCGAGGAAACCTGGGCTTATAATTTATAATGGTAAGTTTGAAATCGCCCCCGCATTGAGCAAGCGTGGTGATTAATGCTCTAACCTTCTCCGTGTGAGAAGAGGCTTTGCTCAGCAGTGGGCATTTATAGGCTGTTGATGATGATGATTTATTTATATATGTATTATATTAATTTGTTTTGACTGCCTCATTGGCCGAGTGGTCGCAAGTGCGACTGCCGGGCAAGGGGTCTCGGGTTCGATTCCCGGGTCGGGCAAAGTATTACTGGGTTTTTATAAATCTCAGTAGTAGCACGGAGTCTGGAAAAATGTGCCCGGTATATGGCAATAGGCTCATCCCCTATTACATGGGACTCATAACATAAATAGTGAAAAGTGGGTGTTACATTGTACAGTGGCATTAAGTGCCGAAATGTGCACCTCTGCCTACCTCTTCGGGGATAAAAAGGCGTGATGTTATGTTATGTAATTTGTTTTATTGTTTATTATTGTTAATTCTATTGGTTTCTTCGGTCTTATTACTTTTTTTTGTTAATTGATTTTAATCTTGTTTGTGTAACACACTATGTGTCTCTGTATTGTTATTTCTTTTCCTGCCACAGGCCCACAGGAAGAAATTCCAGTTGGAATATGTGGGGCCTATGTACTCTGTTTTTTATTATGTATTATCCTCTGTGTTGAATGTGTGTACATAAATTAATAAATAAATAAATAAATAATAAATACATACCTCGGAGAAGATAGGATCCTGTGCGGGGTTATTGTAGTCACGGAATTGTTTGGTGGCGCGGAGGTACGCTTCGATGATAGCTATCTTCTCTTTAGAGCGGTCTGGAAACAGATAGGGGGGTATTTATAATAGTCAAGTCAATCTTCCTTGTGCGTACTGCTAAAGAGTGGAACTATTTGCCAGAGTCTGTATTTCCTGAAGACTTTTTTTTAGGGGGGGGGGGGGAATCATCGAATGACTGTTCCCCCCTGGGTGAGGCGGGAGGGAGTGTCAGACTCTTACTGACTAAAAACCACCCCGTTCCTTCTCCTAAACGTCGAGCCGGAGCCCCGGTTACCCGTTAGATTTTCCGCGACATTTCCTGAAGGGTATAACCTGGGAGTGTTCAAGGCCCGAGTGAATAGGTTGCTTATGGGACGACGTGCTCCATCGTAGACCGCATCATCGCGCACCACCAAGCGAGATAGTGGTCAATATAAAAAAGTGACAAATGTAACAACATCAAGATAAAATGAGACAAAATTAAAATAAATAAATATATATAATCAGATGTTTAACACTGGTCAACTCCAGACTGTATTATTTATTGTCCTTAAGGTTATTTTCTTTTTCGATCTCTTTGACTGGATTATAGTGTTGCATTGTTCTCGCACGATCCAAACAGCAAAACTATGGAACTAGTAAATTGTATTGTGAACCCGATTGAAAAAGAGTAACCTATGGAGTTTCTTGCTCGTTCTTCTCCATAGGAATCTACACTTTGGAACGAGCAAACAGGTTCACATTAAAATTTTTGTGGATGTTCAAAAGCGTCTTCCAGGGTGCTTACTCTTGAAGTCAATCCCAATGTCAATGAAATTTCAATTCAATAAAATCTCAATAATAATTCTTTGTCAACACTATACAACCACAATCGTAGCTGTTACAATAGCATTCAGAGTACGGAATATAAAGACAAACTCAATACCATTTAGTTCATTCAATATCCACGCAATACGGATGTAATGGGCGCTAGTGTCGCTACTCAAGAGTACGACACAATATCGATGTCGATCGATCGTAAGCCCCATGGTCTAATGGGGATGATGACAGGGTATGAAAATTAAAAATATAATTAGTCCGTAAGTTAGGTAATGAAAAAATATTAGACACGTATTTTTTTATTTTGTCGTATAATAAAACAATACTTAGATAAAACGAATCAAAGTTTAGGAGTGGGGGCTAAAACGTCATTCCTTAGTATAAAATGTACTGAGAAGTGACGTCATGCGACATTTCAAATCAATATATCTTCGAAACTATTCGTTTCTGTGAGAAAATAAAAAATACGTGTCTAATGTTTTTAAATAATCTATCAGACGGACATTAAAATAAAAATTAGTCGTCTACCCTAATGAAATAGATGATTTTGACTTGTAACGACAAGACTTGCAGGTTTTATTCAATTCAAAGTCAGGTCAATGTCAAAATCATTTCTTTCATAATCATACCAGCGCTTTCCAATTCTGTTCAACTTACTAGTCTGACAGAGGTACTCTAGAGATCGCTCGTCGACGGGGAAGTGCGCGACCGTGGCACCGAACTCGGGACACATGTTGGCTACCGTCGCTCTGTCCGCGATGCTCAGCGCCGATACACCCGGGCCGTAGAACTCCACGAATTTACCCACCACACCCAGGGAGCGGAGGTGCTGGGGGCAATATAGACGTACTGGGTTAACTGTGGGAGAGACATGCTTCGGCACTGCTGGGTCGAGTCGACCGGAGTGATACCACCGACGAGCTGACAACCATAGTGACACACAGCGGAGTGTGCAGGCGTGGGAGGGAGGGCAGTGGAGGCACAATTACACCCCCCCCCCTCCCCCAACAATCCTCAAATTCCTTAATCCCCAAAAGGCCGGTGACGCACTTGTAACGCCTCTGGTTTTTAGTCAGTAAGAGTCTGACACTCCCTCCCACCTCACCCAGGCGGGAGCAGACATTCGATGATTTTCCCCCCTTAAAAAAAATCGCCTCTGGTGTTCCGTGTGTCCATGGGCGACGCCGATTGCTTACCATCAGGTGATCCGTCTGCTCGTTTACCGGCTTATACCATAATAAAAGAACCTCTTATAATTTATTTGTTACTATTTACTGGTCATTTTGTACGAGGAAAAAATACTTATTTGTCAATGACACATAACATTACGCCTTTTATCCCCAGAGGTGCACATTACGACACTTAATGCCACTGTACAATGTAACACTCACTTTTCACTATTTATGTTATGAGTCCCATGCAATAGGGGGTGAGCCTATTGCCATATACCGGGCACAATTCCAAATTAAAAAAAAAAAACCAGTAGGTAGTACTTTGCCCGACCCGGGAATCGAACCCGAAACCCCTTGCTTGGCAGTCGCACTTGCGACCACTCGGCCAACGAGCAGTATTTGTCAATGATATCAATATTAAAAACACCTTACCTTGGTAATAGTGAGCACTAGATCAGTAGATGTGGCTAGCGGGTTCAGTTCCCCGACGAGCTTGTATCCAACCACTTTAGGTAGCAACATGCTGATCGCCTGCCCCAACATTACTGCTTCCGCTTCGATTCCTGATAAGGACAAAAAATAAATTAGCTGAATTTTTTTTATGGCATAAGCCGGTAAACGAGCAGACGGATCACCTGATGGTAAGCAATCGGCGTCGCCCATGGACACCTGGAACACCAGAGGCGTTACAAGTGCGTCACCGGCTTTTTGAGGATTAGGAGTTTGAGGATAATTGGGGATTCAGGGATTGGGGAAGGGGAAGGTAATAGGGCCTCCGGTAACCTCACTCACACGACGAAACACAACGCAAGCGTTGTTTCACGTCGGTTTTCTGCTCGGCCGTGGTATCACTCCGGTCGAGCCGGCCCATTCGTGCCGAAGCATGGCTCTCCCACACTTATACACTGAAATACTGAAAGTCCACGAAATTGATGGTAACGAAACCGTATCGCGATTCAGGAAAACTGCGTTACAGCACAACGCCATCTATCGAGCGAGGGGACAACGTTCGTAGCATGCGTCTGTTTTTTGTTTGGAGAAATTCTTCGTTGAAACTAATTGTCGGATTTGGGTAATTGTTCTTTCTTTCTTTTGTAAAAAAACGTTGCCCCAACAACATTTTAAGAACATACAACATTTTAAACAATTCTCAGTAGTAGCACGGAGTCTGGAACTGTGCCCGGTATATGGCAATAGGCTCACCCCCTATTACATGGGACTCATAACACAAATAGTGAAATGTGGGTGCTACACTGTACAGTGACATTAAGTGACGTAATGTGTGTATAGGCGTGATGTTATGTTGTAGGCTATAAAACATCACGCTACGATCAACGGAACAGAGCAGACCAGTGGGCTTACTTTTGAAACCAATTCCGATCGATCGACATTGGTATTGTAAAACATCGTACAACACTAGCGCCCATTGCATCCGTATTGCGAGGATATTGAATGAACTAAATGCCACTAAATGGTATTGAGTTTGTCTTTATATTCCGTACTCTGAATGCTATTGTAACAGCTACGATTGTGGTTGTATAGTGTTGACATTGAATAATTATTGAGATTTTATTGCATTGACATTGAGATTGGTTTCAAGAGTAAGCACCCTGGTGAAATCGCGCGACAGTAGTTTGTTGTTCATATTATTGAACTAAATAATTTAACAAAGTATTTTGAACTTACCGCCTACACCCCATCCAACGACTCCAAGCCCGTTAATCATGGTAGTATGACTGTCAGTGCCAACCACGGAGTCAGGATGAAGCAGGTCCTTACTGAAGACCACGCGAGCTAAGTATTCCAAGTTCACCTGGAAAGAAGATTAGAATTAAAGATTATGTCGCTCATACATGTAGGTAGACTGATGACTGTTAATGAAGCGAGAGAGATATGTAAGAATCGTAGTAATTGGCGTTCCTTAGTAGAAAGTGTAAAACCGCGCGGAAGTAGCTAGTATTAAATATTTATAAAACTCAATGGTCTCTCGACCACGAGTTTAAATTCAAAAATAAGTTTTATCAATTAGCAATTTTTGCGTTCGGGTACTACCACCGTGTATGTGTATATGCATAAGTTATTGTGAGTGCTTGTGCTTAACCAAACGCGAGTAACGAAACCATAGCGCGATTCAGGAATACTAAAGAATTGTACAACGCCATCTATCGAGCGTGGTGACAACTTTTGCAGTTGTGTATGTTTTTTTTTGTTTTTCATTTGATTTATTCTTTTTTTTGTGTTTAATTATGTATTGTGGTTTGAGGTAGGTATTTCATTCAAAAATCGTTTGAACAAAATTCTATATAAATGAAAATTAATTACCGTTCGTTAGTCTCGCTAAAAATCGAGAATGGCTGAATCGAGTTGGTTAATTTTGGTCTTGAAATGTTCGTGGAAGTCTAGAGAGTGTTTAAAAGGAGAGAAAAAAATTAAGCGCTACGAAGTTTGCCGGGTCCTCTAGTTTTTGTATAAATCATTTGAGACAGAGGTTAAAACTTATTAGTTATTATGGGTGTCAATGGTATTAAGTTTTGGATAAGTATTTCTACGAGAATAAGCTATAAAAAATAACATATACGTAACATACACGAGATGTAGTCAGCCCCCAGCACTAAACTGTACTTTATACTTCTAGACAAGAGCCGCGGAGGACTTAACGGGTATGCGGGCCTTCGGCTCGAAGGGCAGGAGTAGGAACGGGGTAGTTTTTAGTCAGTAAGAGTCTGACACTCCCTCCCGCCTCACCAAGGCGGAAGAAGTCATTCAATGATTTGCCCCTTTAAAAAATACTTCTAGACAAATCTATGACAAGTGAAACAAGTGAATTTATTTCTGCAAATAGGCTACAAGGCAGCTCTTTTACACGTCAATTTTACAAGCGAACGATGAGGTCGATACTACACTTACTACTATTATGTGACGCTGACGGAATAATAAACTTTATTTATTTAAATTGAAATAAACGATTTTGTTTTTGACTTTGACTAGAAAATGATGAGGTAATTTTTGTATATAATAAAAAATATACATACATTTTTTTTTAAAAAAAAACGTTGCCCCACTTTCGGATTTTCTCCTGTGTCGTGGGTGCGTTTACAAACATACAAGTTCACATACACATGCCTGGTCAATTTTACATACGATATTGAAATAATAAATAACACTATTAGTGACAAGCCTGTCGCTAATTTCTATTAAGCCATTATCTGCCGACAAAAACTGTTAAATGCTAATCCTCCGCTAGCATCGGACATCATTACCAACACGACATCCAATGTGTTAAATAGATTTTCACTATTTATAAAACTCTGCGACCTCTCGACCACGAGTTTTTACCAAAAATACGAGACATAACATGATTAGGTCAAATAATTAGACATATTTATTATAACCTAACCAACTGTGAGGTGATGTCATGATCCCAAAACGGAGCGCGCACCCTAACCAAACGCGAGTAACGAAACCATAGCGCGATTCAGGAAAACTACGAATTTGCACAACGCCATCTATCGAGCGTGGGGACAACTTTCGCAGCATACGTCTGTTTTTTGTTTGGAGAAATTCTTAGTTGAAGTAATTGTCGGATTTGGGTAATTTTTCATTATTTATTTATTTAAAAATAAAACGTTGCCCCACATTCAGGTTTTTTCCTGTGTAGTGGGTGCATTTACAAACATACAAGTTCACATACACATGACACCCACAAACTCAGAACAATAATCTGTGGACCACACAAATAGTTGCTGTGCCGTCAATTATTATTGTACTTTATTTTGTTAAAAATAGAACGTTTACCTTGAAACCTAAAAAAAATATCAACATACAAATAATTCATAATAAAGTAGAAAATAACGCCATCTATCGAGCGCAAAGACAACTTTTATAGCAGGTGTCTGTTTTTAAACGACTTGAAAATAAAATAAAGACCTTCTCAGTTTGACCTGTAAGTATGTTTGTGCGCGATTGGTTGATCCAATTTTGATGCGGTTTGAAAAAAGTGTTTGTTACACTCAGGATAGTTTAGTATATTAATTAGCCGACTTCAAAAACAGAGGGGGTTGAAGTCAGTTTTATTAAACGTAGTCTATAAAAGAATTATTGTTTAGAGATGCTATATACATACAATTGTGTACTTTCCTTAATCAAAAATAAATTATTTCGACTGTTCTATACAGTAAAATATTAATAAACCAAGACCAACTTTGCTTCGCTTTGAGTACCGTCATTATAGTTTGTGTACCGTCATTATAGACACAATTAAAGATATATACACAATAGGTTGCGGTCACCGGTGTCCTCGCGGTGTTTGACAGTTTAATTTTAGTATATTTCCAGCAATTTTTAAGAAATAAGTATGCTGTTTGATATAAAAAAAACCGTGACGTCACAATACACAATCTCGTACGATATCTATAGTGAACTGTCGTTTTAGACAGTTCGAAAAAAGTATTGAATTTGACTTTAGTTGGCATGACTGCCTCATGTGGTAGCAAGCACGGAGTCTGGAATTGTGCCCGGTATATGGCAATAGTCTCACCCCCTATTACATGGGACTCATAACATAAATAGTGAAAATTGGGTTACATTGTACAGTGGCATAATGTGCACCTGTCTACCCCTTCGGGGATAAAAGGCTGATGATGTTATGTTAACTCGTTGAGTACCGTCATTATAGACACAATTAACCCGTCGAGTACCGGTTTTATAGACACAATTAAAGAACAATAGGTCGCGGTCACCGGTGACCGCTTGGTGTTTGACAGTTTAAAGAACAATAGGTTGCGGTCACCGGTGACCGCTTGGTGTTTGCAGTTTAAGTGTTGGCATAGCAAGTACCCAAGTACGAACCTGATGGACGATTCCGGAGCCGGGTGGTACGATCAGCATATTGTCGAAGGCCTGAGCTCCCCACTTGAGGAATTGGAATCGTTCCTTGTTCCTCTCGAATTCCAATTCTTGATTCTTGTTCAGAGCGTCTGGGCTGCAATTTGAGGATATTTATTTAGTCTTTAATGTACACAATTTTAATATAGCACATAAGGCGGACTTAATGCCATATGGCATTCTCTACCAGTCAACCTTAGGGTTTAAATAGAAAATCTGCGAAAAATAAGGTACGGAGAATAAACTAACAGCAAAGAGAGAGAGAGGAAAAAATAAATAAAAAGGTAATTATTAAATAATATAGCTATACATATATATTACATAATAGTAAATAGTATATATAGTCATATGCATAAAATATATAGGTATAAATACATACATAAATATATATCGACGAAGACCTAGACCTAGCGTTGCAGCGATTTTAAGTAAAATTCATAAACTTGGTGTTTAAAGGAGATTTTATTACGAGCTTTTTTGATATTGAGGGGAGCGCGTTATAAAGTTTGATGACACTTATTGTAAAGGAATTAGAAATAAAAGAGGTCCGGTGGGAAGGTATTTCAAGGAGCAAGTTATCCGTCGAGCGGAGGTTACGGTTGTGTGAACGGATATCACACGTCAATAATAATACCTATTGATTATTTTAATTTGATTTTGATTATTTTAATTTAATTATGATTGTTTAAATTTGATTTAGGTATCATTGTAATTATTGGACATACCAAGAATTTTAATATGACATTTTATTTTAGTAACTATCATTTTATTTTGACTTTAATTATCTTATTTTTAATTTTAATTATTTTATTTTGTTTTACTAAAATATGTTAGGTCTATTTTTGGATAATCTCTTTTAAAAAAAAGCTTTATCTTAACAAATATTGCTGTACCCTTACAGGGTCCATAAATGTACTTAGCTTTAAGCCTATTGTAACACCTTATTCACTTTATGGTACGCAAATAAATGAATATGAATACTAATCTTAGGTCTGACTATCTGTTGCCCACAACATAGTCCGCGTAGAACATAATTCCTGTTTTAAAGTACAGAAATCCTTTATGGGGTTAGGTATTCAATGCTATAATAAAATACCAAACAGCATACTAAACTCGGAATTTTAATTCGATTCCAGATTTGACAATTTCAGTGTTGCAACGTTATGACAAGTACTAAATAGTGACGTTGCGAAATTATTCGATATGGAAATGCAATATTTCTGGATCGATTCTTCTCGTTTATAATTTTACTCTCGGAAATACTTAGTTTACGAGAGTAAAATTATCAGATCAGGAAATTAAATATTTCTGAACCGATAATTTAGTTTTGACGATTAATTAACGATCTGAGACTTTCTTTTATAATTGTGTGTGAAATAAATAAAAAAAATGGAATCATGAAGGAACATGACAAATAAAACAGATAGATGTATCATGGTAATAAGTTATTTTATAAATTGTCGCCGTCATCGCTATCGCTATCCTGTCACTTTCTGTAACATTTATTATAAAACATACACACTGATTATTTATCGATTTTTGTGTGCATCACTACACTATTATATGTGGTATCATTATTTCACAAAATGACAGTAGCTATTGTCAAATCTGGAATCTAATTAAAATTCTGACTATAGTTCTCAATGAAAGTAAATTTAAAAAATATATTAAGTGCGAATTATGTAATCAAGCTTACTATACACTGACAGATTATCTTGAAGATAAGAATAAGAATGCTTGGCAGCATGTTGGTTCGGCTCCACTGGACAATACTCAAATGTAGTCGGTACTTAAATTCCAATAGTAGGTAATATAATACATAATTTAATACTTCTAGTGTAGACAATCTAGTTTCCTTATGGTATCGAGCATTTTTTTCTTTATTGGAAAAGAGTGTTTTTTTTTCTTGTATAGAAGCACTATTTTTATGGATTGTCAGTATGTATATGTGAGCACCATGTTAGACTATAAAATTATAATTCACTAATACACACCTCCTAGCAAAATCAACTTGCACAGAGTGATCGATGACAAGATCAGCCGGGCATATGGGGTTGATCTTCTGAGGGTCTCCGCCGAGATCCTTTACAGCATCACGCATAGCTGCGAAGTCTACTACAGCTGGTACACCTGTGAGATCCTGGAAAAATAAGTAATATATACTATAAGATTTTCTTATTATTTTGTTTTTTTTTTTTAGTAAGTTTTGTAATTAGTATAATGCGTCAAGCGAGTCTTTGCATTGTTCTCACATATATGTACAGTATTGGAATATGTATCAGACACATTGTAGAACATACATTTTTCAAAAAGCAGCGCAAGTAGCAACTCCGAAGCGAGCGCCAACGCTAGCCAGTAGGCTGCGCGACATCGCCGCGACCGCGCACGCTGCTCATGAGGAAGAACCCCTCTGTGGTTCGAAACTAGTAGAGTTTTTCTCAGTATTTTCACGTGAGTAACCCGCGATGTTTAGTTAATTTAGTATGTCTCACGATAGTTATTATAAAAACAGGCGTAAGGTTGCAAGCCTTTCGGTTTTCTTCCGGATACATTTGTGTGCGGGGCAATTGCACAACTTGATTCCCCCTAGTCCTTTCCATCATCGTACCACAAGACAATCGGCGAAGCGAATCATGGTACATGCCCACCCACACGCACGAAGCGCTTTGCATCAAGCTCCCTTGTGCGTACCGCTAAGGAGTGAAATTCTTTGCCAGAGTCTGTGTTTCCTGAAGGGTATACCCTGGGAGTCTTCAAGGCCCGAGTGAATAGGTTGCTAATGGGACGACGTGCTCCATCGTAGACCGCATCATCGTGCACCACCAGGGCAGACAGTGGTCAAACGTCGGCCCATCAAATCTTTATATAGGTATATAATTCCTCTGCGAGTGTGTATGTCACTGAACTTCTCTCAAACGACTGGACCGATTTTGATGAAATTTTTTGTGTGATCAAGGGGATCTGGGAACTGCAGTCGATGTTAAGGTTATTTATCCTAAACAGCTAATTTGAATGAATTTTTGTTTATACATTCAATTCAAGTGGATATGCAGGACAACGTCTGTTGGGTCCGCTAGTATAATATAAAAAACCAATATAATATAAAAAATATATATTTATGACACAACCACGGTGAAGGAAAACATCGTGAGGAAACCTGGGCTTAGTTTCTTAGGTTATTAACCCTTTGAGTACCGTCATTATAGACACAATTAAACTGTCAAACACCAAGCGGTCACCGGTGACCGCAACCTATTGTTCTTTAATTGTGTCTATAAATATGGTACTCGACGAGTTAAAGAACAATAGGTTGCGGTCACCGGTGTCCTTGCGGTGTTTGACAGTTTAATGCTCATTCCTTCTCCGTGTGAGAAGAGGCCTATCAGCAGTGGACACCTATAGGCTGATGATGATAATGATGATGATATTTACCTGAAGAATCACCCTGGCGGGTTTAAACGCGATCTCAACGCCACCCTCGACGGCCTGGTTGGTTTCCCACTCGAGGACATTCTGGACATCTTTCTGCAGCACTTGGAAGCCATCGCAGTTCCTCACACAGGACTCCAGAAGTACTCTTACGGAGTAGGGAAGACGGTCTGTAAGAAATAGGGAGGTTTTTATCATTATGTGAACGTCGCCGGCATTCATAAAACCCCAATACAATGCTTACTACAAAAAATATCGGACTTTGAAATTCGTCGGCTTGCAAAGCCAGATGCTAAACGTGACGAAGTAAAAGCCCGACCATCAGCGGCTTCCTTCCTAGTCGTCTTCTTCATTACTGAAGGTCGTGTGACTAGACACTGGTGCACGCGTCACTTGATGCACAACCCTCCTCCAAACGCCCCTGTCCTCTGCGGTCTTTATGGTTTTTTTTTTTTTTTTTTTTTTTTAAGGGACAAGCCCGCCACAACCTCCCAAAACCGCTGCAACTCCTGTAAGCCAGGATCTACAGTAGATACAACCATGAAAACACCGGAACACTGAAGTCCGGCGCGTCCCAGGGACATGAGTAACTGTCTTGGTTCCCGCAACGAAATGAATCAGAAGATATTATAAGAGGAGAAGAAAAAACTATAGTTTCCACTTCCCTCGGTGAATTTCTGCAGGAGACAGAATGAATTAAGCCTAAAGGCACAAAGAAGAGACTGTACAACTGGGTGAAGCCCAGTCGCCAAGCACCACGGAAATTTGACTAAAAAACTAAGTGGGTCCTATGTGTGAGCTGTTATACTTGCTTCCAATAATAGGTATGGCAAAAACGCCTAAACGCACGGAAATTTGTTCTAGATTCCACAAGGTCCGTATAATAAGCTACACCTGACGAAACAATTAAATTATTCAACATAGTGTTACGTTCATATTGCCAGAGATCACACTCCCAGAGTATGTGATGGGCCGACTGCTCGTATTGCAAATCCACTGTCGAACATTGGCACCATGGTGAATCAATAAGTTTAAATGAGAACAATTTGCTTTTAAAGTTGCCGTGGCCAGTAAGAAATTGGGCAACACAGTGATCCACCTCCAACCATGTCCTCTCCAGCCGCTCATGCACGGATGGGAAGAACTGATATAGGTGGCGGCCCTTAATAGAAGATGCCCATCTACCCTGCCATTCAGTTATAAGCTCATCCCAGACGTCCGTTATTGGCTTAAACAATCTAGCAATTTTATTTCTATCACGTTGTGCTAGAAAGCTTGCTGACAAATTAGGTCTCGCACTGTAGTACATAGCAGCACGTCGCTGCACCTCAAGATCTACCGGAAGTACGCCCGCGAGCACAGGTAGGGCTTCAGTGCTAACCGTCCTATAAGCCTTACACAGGAAAATCAAGGCTAGACGCTGGCCTTGAAGAAGTTTTCGCCGTACCGCGCCTATTGTGGCCCTATCAGCCCAGACAGGTGCCCCGTAGCACACGCATCCCAGGTAGGTTGCTCCGTATATGATCCTGAGCGTAAGAAAAGAGAGACCCCAGGTGGCTTTTGAAATTCGCGTCAGCGCATAGAAGTTATTTTTGGCTTTCTCACTAATAGCCTTAATGTGCTCAATGAAAGAAAAGTTTTTTTCCAAAACTAGACCGAGAGGTAGCAAACCGACTCCTTTCGTTTTACGGAAACGTTGTTAAATTTAATAGACGGCCACGACTTTAGATTTCCTTTAAGCAATAGCTGGTAAGTTTTATGGGGTGCAAAAGTCAAGCGATTTCGTTCGCCCCATCGCGAGATCCTACTGAGACAGTCTTTAGCCAAATTCTCCAGTCCGGCGCGGGTATTTGACTGTACTAGCAAAAGGCCATCATCCGCATATCCAGTCAAAGTACAGCTACAAGGAAGGGGAATCGCGAGCAAATCATCAAATCCTAAATTCCATAAATACGGGCCAATAACCGAGCCCTGAGGACATCCCATTGATAAAGACTTCGACCGAGAACAATGACCAAGCTTCAGTTTAACGGAACCGTGAAGGAAATACGTGTATATTAATTTATATATGTTACTAAAACAGCCTCGACCTTTCAGTTTTAAGAGTAACATTGGCCACCATGCGTTATCAAAGGCACCGGAAATGTCCAGAAAAATGCCTACTATATACCTGTGCTCAGACGAATTTACCATGGATCGGACAGAAAGAGCCGCGTCGACAGTAGACTTTCCTACAGTGAAACCAAATTGATTGTTGTGGAATTTTGGTCCACCTGGCAGTAAACGAGGAACGATAAGTCGCTCAAGTAGTTTCCCTAAAGATGGCAAAAGCGTGATAGGCCGGTATGACTTAGGGTCATCGGGGGGTTTATTTCCATTTTTGGGGATTATGCGAATGAATCCACGTCGCCATACACGAGGAAAGACACCTTCCGCGATACAACGGTTGTATACAGTTAGGATCGCATCAGCCGCGGATTTACATGCTTCTATTATCATTTTATTTGAGACTTTGTCTTCACCAGATGATTTATTTAAAGGCAAAGTTTTAACAATAGTTACGAGCTCGTTGATGGACGGTAGATCAGACACTGGTGATTCAGGCGGTATAGCTGCCCACGACCTAATCTGTTGATGGTAATCATTGTCTGTCTCGAATACATCGTCAGGGACAAGCTCATCGAGTAGAACTTCCGTTGTCTCCTCAATACCAGTGGTGTGAACATTGTTGACTTTTATGTTCTGTACGAATGCCAGATCGACGGATCTATTAGCTTTGAACTCATGGTATAGAGGCGACCACGGACCCTCCTTATCTAATTTTTGTACAACCCTCCGTAGCAAATCACCCTTGGCTTTCTCCACCGAAGCCCTATAACGTGACCTGGCAACTCTAAACGCAATCAGTGCTTCATCAAAAACGGTACCGGTTACCTTACGTTTCTTTAGTCTATTTAACTGTTTGCGCGCTTTACGAAAACATTTACGTTGTTCGACTAGATAGTTATTCCACCAGTCGCATCTACGCGTACTTGTCAAGGACCCGCGACCAAAAGCGATGTCGGCACAGTAAGTGAAGGCATCTGACATGATTTCAGCACCCTCCTCGGCCGAGAGATCTCTGCGAGTAAAATCTTTGGCTTGAGATGCAAATAATGAACTAAAACAGCATTACTTAATAAAAGTATTTTCTGCATGGCGCCACGTGTCTATAATCACCTACCCAAGTCTGTATTGGAGATTTCAGATATAAATATATTTAAAAGAAAAATCAAAGCCCTATTAATGCCAAAAGCATATTACACTGTCAACGAGTATTTGCAGGACATGTTAATGTAAAATATCACTATTTTTTATTAAGTAAATTTCTATATCTTATAAGTTTTGCATGCATTTGATATGATATGTAAACCAATCGGTGTGGAATCTCACACATTTTTGGGCATTGTCCTTTGTATGACATTTTATTTAATCTAATTCATGACATTTTATTTGAGAAATACATTTATTGACATTAAATTTTAATGAAATTGTTGACATTATATTTTGAATTCACTTATATTACAATAATTGTGTTGAAAGCTTGAATTTTGAATGTACTTGATTTTTTTTTCCAAATAACATTGTAAAACTGTAATTTTTGTAAATTTTGTAATTTGCATGCCTCAAGGCGTAATATGGTCGGAACTGTATCTACTTATGTGCTAACAACTTAATTTACCCATATTAGCAAATAAATGATTTGATTTTAAAAAAGTTCCAGTCCGCGCCCTTAGTCTTGTACCTAAAGCTATCATTGCAATATGTTGGACCCTGGGGTAATGTTGAAACAAACTCGTACACGATCAGGCGATGATCACTACACGACGCATCTGGTAGGACACGCCACCTATCCAAGCTAACGTCCGCACTAGAAAGTGTGACGTCAATACAAGATTCGCCCATTTGGCTGCAAAAAGTAGGTGGTGCATCAGGGGTGTTATGAATGGAGAGATTCATTTCGGCAATGAATTCTTCAACAGCACAGCGCCGTTCCATGTCAGTAGCCCTGACCTTGCCATACCACAAGGATGAAGACGCGTTAACGTCAGCACCAATGATAATTTTGGAGCCCGCAAGTGATTGCAAGACGTGACGGAGGTGATGAATATGAGGAGTAACTGAGTCAGAATATTGAAAGTAACAGCTCACAACGTACAATTTACAATTTCCCGAAGCAATCTCCGCGACGGCACAGTGCGACGTCTTTATGGCTTGTGGAACTGTCAGTTAGTTTAGGTTTTTTACAGCATCCAACCACCGGGTAGGTGAGCGACCACGAGGTCTTTTCCCGTTAACCCGACCAACAACCACAAGCTTCTCCAGCATCAGCGGCAATCCTTACTAATATTATAAATCGGAAAGTGAGTTTATATAAGAGTAAACGAGCAGACGGATCACCTTATGATAATCGGTCGTCTAAAAATGCTATGGGGCTCCGATTCTTTTTTGCCGTTTATGGTGTGTGTGTGAGGGTGTGTGTGTGTGTGTGTTCGTTAGCAGAAGGGTCGGCAAATAATATGCGTGTTCTTGGTTCGAGGTTTATTGAACGACTGACAATAGAGTATAGTAATATGCGACTCACTGACTCCAGTGAACTTAGACCTAATGTGCCTAAGACTAACTAAGACTATTGTGCCTACACGCTACACTTTGATTTAAGTCTAAAAAAATTAACGCTAATTCTATTACGATGTGCAGATAGGCTGCACTGAAGAGGGCTCCTCAAAAATTATGATTACGCAAGCGAAACCGCATGTAAGAGCTAGTAAGCCATACAAGTGTGGGAGAGCCATGCTTCGGCACGAATGGGCCGGCTCGACCGGAGTGATACCACGGCCTCACAGAAAACCGACGTGAAGCAACACTTGCGTTGTGTTTCGTCGTGTGAGTGAGGGAACCGGAGGCCCAATTATCCTCCCCTTCCCCAATCTCCTCAATTCCTGAATCCCCAACGATCCACAAACTCCTAATCCCCAAAAGGTCGCACGCAGTTGTATGTAACGCCTCTGCTGTTCCAGGTGTCAATGGGCGACGCCGATTGCTTACCATCAGGTCCGTCTGCTGGTTTACCGGCTCATGCCATAAAAAAATACAATACAATCATACGATGAAAGAATTCATGTTACAATGTTGTTGTGCACAATGAATGAATGTATATATGTACTGTTGTTACTTACAACAAGAATTGAATGATATTTCCTGTCATACAATACTAATAATGTATGAATGGGTCTTGAATTCGATACCCAGATGAAGCGTACCTACAGGGTCAGTGTTAAAATGTTATCAATATAATTATAATGTTAAGATGTTACACGTAGCCCCATCTATGAGCCTAAAAGTGAAACGTGTCTATAGTGTCTATTACCTAAATTGTCTATGTATGAATGTTTGAACGTTATTAAATTAAGTCCTTTCGAAACCGTCAACCGACATCTTTTATAAGTCAGGGTATGAAAATTAAAGACCTATTAGTCCGCGACAGACAATCTTACTTATTTTAAACCAGTTGTCGCACGCAACTTCGTCCGCGTAGAATATGATTCCTGCTTTATACCATGGGAGCATTTACCGGGATAAAAACCTATCCTATCCTATCACCTAAGTTAGCCCATACCCTGCCTGTATACCAAGTTTCATCAAAATCCGTTCAGTAGTTTCAGCGTTATTTACGATCTCCGGCCACCGTAAGCACGGGCCTGCTGACGACAAGCATATGTGGCTTGCCGCCCGACCAGAACCAGACCCGAGCGTACGGCGCCGAGCGTTCCGCGCACGCCTCAAAGAGCCGTCAGACCACCACGGATGGGGGCCCAATAGGGCTGATGCCGATACGGAGGACTTAACGGGTTGCTGGGGCTCCGGCTCGAAGGGCAGGAGTAAGAACGGTGTGGTTTTTTAGTCAGTAAGAGTCTGATACTCCCTTCCGCCTCACCCAGGCGGAAGAAGCTTAAAAAAAAGAATATAAAACAAAGTATAACAGCTCACACATAGGACCCACTTAGTTTTAGTCAAATTGCCTCTCTTTTTTGTGCCTTTAGGCTTAATTCATTCTATCTCCTGCAGTAATTCACCGAGGGAAGTGGAAACTACCGTTTTTTTCTTCTCCTCTTATAATATCTTCTGATTTACTTCGTTGCGGGAACCAAGACAGTTATCCATATCCCTGGGACGCGCCGGACTTCAGTGTTCCGGTGTTTTCATAGTTGTATCTACTGTAGATCCTGGCTTACAGGAGTTGCACCGGTTTTGGGAGGTTGTGGCGGGCTTATCCCAAAAAAAGGCTATAAAACATCTCGCTACGTTCAATGGGAGCCGAGTAAAACGGATAAAATCGCGCGGGAATAACAATTTTTTTTATGGCATAAGTCGGTAAACGAGCGGACGGATCACCTGATGGTAAGCAATCGGCGTCGCTCATAGACACCCGGAACAGTAGAGGCGTCACAAGTGGGTTACCGGCCTTTTGGGGATTGGGGAATTTGAGGATTCGGTGATTGGGGAGACTGGAGAGGGGGGAGGGGTAATTGGGCCTCCGGTAACCTCACTCAGACGACGAAACAACACAAGCGTTGCATCACGTCGGTTTTCTGTGAGGCCGTGGTATCACTCCGGTCGAGCCGGCCCATTCGTGCTGAAGCATGGCTCTCCCACACACAAACTATTGGAGTTATATAGTCACTTAGACACAACAAAATCGATTTAAATACATTAAAAATAACGACGAGACGCGCCCCCTTCCTGTATGAATAATTCTATACTACAAAAATACATTGACGTTATTACGAAACCACGTTAGTGTGTACCTATGCATTAATTCAAACGTTTTGGGGGTCGCAAGTGTCAAGTATCATTTACATTTTTCAACTGTAATGTAAAAATACTAACTAAACCGTGAAATAAAGTTCTTAAGTATTGTGAAAGAAGTCGCGGAGAACCTAACGGGTAACCGGGGCTCCGGCTCGACGTGCAGGAGAAGGAACGGGGTGGTTTTTAGTCAGTAAGTGTCTGGCGCTCCCTCCCGCCTCACCCAGGCGAGAGAAGTCATTCGATGATTTCCCCCCTTATAAAAAAAAATATTGTGAAAGAAAGAGAGAGGAAAAAATGCTTTTATGTAGCACAGATGATACACAACACTGTGGTTGTTTCACTTTTGTTTTCTGCTCGGCCGTGATATCACTCCGGTCGAGCCGGCCCAGAAGTGCCGAAGCATGGCTTTCCCATACTTAACAATGTGTACTTATTGGACGACTGTGTGAGGTAGTGGACAAGTACGTAGCTAATACCTATGTTCACGATGGTAAAATAAAGCAGCTATACTTCGAAACTATAACTTTGTTTCGCCTCTACTAATATCTTATGTTATATATTATGCTCTTATTCTATTATATATTGACTACACGATTGGTGCGGTGGCTGGGCAACCGGCTGCCGTGCAACGTGTCGCGGGTGCGATTCCCGCACGGAACAACACTTTGTGTGATCGACAAATTGTTGTTCCGTGTCTGGGTGTCATGTGTATGTGAATTTGTATGTTTGTAAACGCACACACAGGAGAAAACCCTAGTGTGGGGCAATGTTTTTTTAAAAAAAAAAAATATATATATATATAAAGCGGAAGAGTTTTTTTTTTTTTGTTTGTTTGTTTGAACGAGCTAATTGATTGACTGATTTGAATAATTCTTTTTATGTTGGATAGCGCATTTATCGAGGATGGCTATAGGCTAAAAAACATCACACTACGACCAATAGGAGCTGAGCAGAGCGTGTGAAACCGCGCAAAAGTAGCTAGTCTTCTGATATATTTCGTTGCGGGATACAGGACAGTTGTTCATGTCCCTGAGACGTTGGACTTCAGTGTTCCGATGTTTTCATGGTAGTATCTACTGTAGATCATGGTGCACTGACTGGCTCTCAGGTGACTGCCTCGTTGGCCAAGTGGTCTTAAGTGGGACTGCCGGGCAAAGGGTCTCGGGTTCGATAGCCAGGTCGGGCAAAGTATTACTGAATTGTTAAAAAATCTCAGTAGTGGAACGAAGTCTGTAGGTGTAGCATGTGCAAGTAGGTGAGCCTATTGCTATATACCGAGCATTGTGCTCGGTATATAGCAATAGGCTCACCCCCTATTACATAGGACAAATAGCGAAAAGTGGGTGTTACATTGTACAGTGGCATTAAGTGGTGTAATGTGCACCTCTGCCTACCCCTTCGGGGATAAAAGGCGTGATGTTATGTTGTGTTATCCTGGTGTACTACTCTAAAACTGAAATGGCAATGTACTGGACATGTAGCACGGTGTAAGGACGACAGATTGACAACCAAAGCCCAGACAGTGGAAAGGGCCCACAGATTGAAGAAAAGAAGGCAAACTAAAAAGAAGATGGGCTGATAACTTAAGAGAAATAGCAGGAGACGATTGGCAAACCATGACCAAAGACAAGGAATTGGAAACAACTGAAGGAGGCCTTCACCTGAGGAAGGGGCCTACACCCTAGTGTAATACTTACCTGTAGATAGAAAAAAAAATCATTCTTTAATAGTTATGTAATTATTTAAGGGTACTGGGAAATAAAGGCTTTTTTATTTTTATTTATTTATATCCTGGTGTACAGAAGTTGCAGCTAACCCGACAATACATACACACCCAAACATATTTGCGCAACATCTTATGGATGCTCTAAAAATAATAATTTATGAGAGTATGTCGCTGGACATATATCTCCCACGCCACTTACACAAACCACAGTCAGAAAGACAGATAGCATTAGGAAGGGGTAAAAAAAAAAAGAAAAAAAACCGGACAATAGTCTGACCGTAATGACATTTCTGCATAAAAAAGATATCGCACTATCACAAGAAAAAGTTATTTACTATTATGAAAAATATTTTTTATCTATTTCGAATAGGTTCAAGGTAGTGTCATGATAATATTGACGGAGATTTGATAAGAACTGAATGACATTTGTTATCACTACACAAAGATAAGGAGATACACCTCTCATGAGTACTGTGGTTTGTGATTTTCTTCATTTTATATGGAAAGGAGAAAGACAATAAAATTGCCATGATCCACAGCGGGTGGCAGTCTGCTGCACTATGAATCTCCTCTACATAAGAGGGTTTGCCATAATCTCCGCAGGCGGGCGGATTTTATTTTCCGATATAACGTTGCCCCACACTAGGATTTTCTCCTGTATCGTGGGTGCGTTTACAAACATTCAAGTTCAGATACACGTGACACTCAGACCCGGAACAATCTGTAGATCACACAAAGAGTTGTCCCGTGCGGGAATCGATCCCGCTACACGTTACGCAGCAGCCAATTGCCAAGCCACCGCGTCAACCGTGCAGTCAAATGCAGGGTTGGAGATCGCTTTCTCTTAACTGATCACCACAATGTTGCACCATGTTTGAAACAATCATTCATAGCTTTTTGCTATTTGAGCCACGGAGAGTTGAACGGGTTACCGGGGCTCCGGCTCGACGTGCAGGAGAAGGAACGGGGTGGTTTTTAGTCAGTAAGAGTCTGACACTCCCTCCCGTCTCACTTGGGCGGCAGAAGTCATTGGATGAGTCCGTTAGGTCCTCCGCGACAACTGTGCGCTTCTCACGTAGCATTCTGCCTCGTACAGCAAAACTGTCGTCGGCGGTATTTCCGAACCGATACGACCTTCAAACCTTCAAGGAAAGACCGTATTTCATTTTAACAGGCCGGCAACGCACCTGTGACTTCTTTGGTGTCTATGGGCGGCGCTGATCGCTTACCATCAGGTGATCCGTCTGCTCGTTTGCCTCCTATTCCATAAAAAAATACAGTAAGATTTTCTACATGAATCTATTAGGTACTTACCATATTTCTCCCCAAGGCCGGTGACGTCATAATACTTGAACTGTTTGCCGTCGATCTCAATCGTTTTCAGCAGATGATCATATGGGTTGTTCGTGGCTGAAACAATTGAAGAAACGTTACGTTTTTTTTAAATCGACTTAAAAAAACTGTCCAGGACTGCCTTGTTGGCGGAATGGTAGCAAGTGACTGCCGGCAAGAGGTCTCGGAATCCATTCAAGGGTCGAGGAAAGAATTACTGGGTTTTATAAAAAATCTCAGTAGTAGCACGGAGTTTGAAATTTTGCCCGGTATATGGCAATAGGCTGACCCCCTATGACATGGGACTCATAACATAAATAGTGAAAAGTGGGAAAAGCTGTCGAAAACTGAATCTTATTACTATCATTATAAAGCTGAAGTGTTTGTTCGTTTGTTTGTCTGTTTGTTTAAACGCGCGAATCTCCAGAACTACAAGTCCGATTTGAATAATTCTTCTTGTATTGGACAGTCCATTTATCGAGGAAGGCTATAAACTATAAAACATCACGCTATGATTAATAGGAGCCGAGCAGAGAGTGAAACTGCGAAGGAGTAGCCAGCATGTAGGTAATACAAAGTGCAATATTAATGTTTTTATTCTCATACCAATTATATTTGGTTTCATGTTTATACAACAAACAGCAAATATTATATTTTCGATAATATCTACCCTCACATGACCGTCAGCAATCGTTAATAACATTTACATAATATTATTGTATTCTTCGCAAACAGTTAAAATAATAACATTATGTTAAAACAACTTGTGTGTGTTTATATTATACGGTTATGTCATTTAAATAAATATCTTTACGCTAATTTTTTGTTGACGTTGGTAGGCGTGTCTTAGTTTCAGTATTTTATATTATATCATCACACCTTTTATTCACCAGCTGCTTCGGCCACGTACCCGTGGGGTAAAAAGTAGTCTGTATGTTATTTCAGACAATATTCTACCCCCTTTTTTTTAACCTCAAGGTGGGAAATCCTCATGGAGCCCTCTCGCCTGAGGAGGACGAAAGGGACTGTCAGACTCTTACTGACTAAAACCCACCCCGGTGTCCCGTCTCACACGTGGGTACGAGGGTGCGGGAGTCACATTCATCCGCAGCCCCCGAACTCGTGGCGGCCTGCCTTGCCAGGCCCCACCTCAAGATGCACGGAGAAGTGAGGTGCAACGTCTCGGAGGAGCGCGTGGACACAAAGCGCGCCACCGTCTCGGGTCCTTTACAACGGGATGACGGGGACTTAATATTCTAACCCCTGTTCCAGATTTTATACTGTTTTGACGTGAAGGAGAATAAACGAACAATCTTTCGCATTTATAATATTAGTATGAACTTAGGAAGTAAGGTAGTAGGATCAGGATGCTTACATCCTGATCCTACTACCTTACTTCCTTTCTCTTGAATCCAATTCCGATCGATCAACATTGGTATTGTGAAATTTCGTACTCTCGAGATGCAACACTAGCACCCATTGCATCCGTATTGCGTGGATACTGAATGAACTAAATGGTATTGAGTTTGTCTTTATATTCCGTACTCTGAATGCTATTGTAACAGCTACGGTTGTGGTTGTATAGTGTTGACATTGAATAATTATTGAGATTTTATTGAATTGAAATAGTATTGACATTGAGATTTCAAGAGTAAGCACCCAGGCTTTGCGCCGAGGAGGCTCCGGAACAGGTCTCTCAGAGGACCCGGTATCTACATACAGGTGTTGAGGGTAGCCACCGGGGTGGTTACAGTGAGGTAAAAATCCCACACTCCTTAGTCTTTTATCCCCAAAAAGCTAGGCGCCTATTGAATGTTTCCTCCCGTCATCAAAAAAAGGGTAGTAGGTTAGGATTAGGGGTGTAGCTAGCGCCGTATCTGCCGTATCAATGTAGGGCCATTCAATCAATATGGGGCCCCAAACTACGGGGGCCCCCAACGTGTATTACCAAAAATATAAAAACTTATCAATTTATATTTTATTTCGGTAATCACAAAATGCTTGCGTTCAAAGGTTGGCAGAAACCACGTCCGAAACTTTGGAAAAACTAAAGTAATCATTGTACGATAATTTGGGCAGAGGGAGATACCTGGAAGGTTTTCTGTTCCGGTTTTAAGTTAAAATCGGAAAGCTTTCCATAATATTGTGTAAAAAAATGTATTCTGAGAAATTATTAGTTCAGAGAGAATTAATTTTTACCTTTCATAAGGGCCCCCGAACAAATTTTTATACGGGGCCTCACCAAGATACGCTACGGCACTGGTGTTTATTTTTTATTTTTTAAGGGGGAAAATCATCGAATGACTTCTCTCGCCTGGGTGAGGCGGAAGGGAGTGTCAGACTCTTACTGACTAAAAACCACCCCGTTCCTTCTCCTGCACTTCGAGCCGGAGCCCCAGTAACCCATTAGGTTCTCCGCGATACGCCACTGGTTAGAATAAGCATCTAGCTCAATTCATCAAATGAATCAATCAATAAAAAAAGAAACATACATAATACATAACATCACGCCTTTTATCCCCGAAGAGGTAGGCAGAGGTGCACATTATGCCACTGTACAATGAAACACCCACTTTTCACTATTTATGTTATGAGTCCCATGTAATAGGGGGTGAACCTATTGCCATATACCGGGCACAAAAAGAAACACAACCAACAAAAGAGCATATAGCCTTTAAAAACGAACACTTCACTAAATTATGTCATTATACAAACATAATTGTTTTCAAGTAGAATTACATTACTGAGTACAAAGTTCATTTCTAAGTTATTTACGTATGTGTTACATAATTGTGAAGCTAAATTATGTTTGAAACTGGTTTAGAAATAAAATAGTCTTTACTAAAGCTTCGTCTGCTATTTCTTAAAATAAACGTAGCCTATATTACTCCTTAGGACCTATAGGCCACGGGTCTCTGTTAAGATTCTCCTCCGGCCACCGTAAGCACGGCCCTGCGGACGGCGAGCACGGGTGACTCGCCGCCCGACCAGAACCATAGCCGAGCGTACGGCGCGTCGCGTTCCGCGCGCGCCTCAAGGAGCCATCAGACCACCACAGATGGGGCTCAACAGGGCCGATGCCGATTCGGAGTCGCAGAGCCGGGGCTCCGGCTCAACGTGCAAGAGAAGGAACGGGGTGGTTTTTAGTCAGTAAGAGTCTGACACACTCTCCCGCCTCACCCAAGCGGAAGAGAGTCATACGATGATTATACCCCTTAAAAAAACTGATTGTTTTTATCATATTTTTTACAACAAAAGGCCATTAATTAATTGACGAATGTTATGCTAATGCAAGTATGATTACAGGAAAAAAAAACGAAATAACTATACCAGAAACATTTGAATTTCCTGAATAAGTTGAACTTAATATAATAAAAAAAACAATTACAAAAGTTTTTATCATGAAAAGGTTTTATTTGGCTTGCCCCGTTTGTTTGGTTGGGTCCAATTTAGTTTTTGTAATTTCACCCCCTTCCTAACGACCAATCAATCTGATATTTGATACACACTCTTAATCTTGATAACCATACAATTATTTAAAATAAAAATTATGTATATTTATAATGACTATGCACTACTGTTTTTGCTGTGACAATTCTAATAAGATTAATTTAGAATATGTTCATTATTAGTGATACCTTATCCTATAGATTTAATAAGATTAGCTACTTCTGTGCAATTTCGACCACTCTGCTCTATGCCAATTGGTTATAGCGTAATGTTTTATATCCTATAGCCTTTCTCGATAAATGGACTATCCAACACAAATCGAATATTTCAAATCGGACCAGTAGTTTAAGATTAGCGCATTCAAATAAGATTTTTGGAAATTAAAAGTTGTAATATGGAATCTGAAACCAAGCAAAATGGCAATAGGCTCACCCCCTATTACATGGGACTCCTATTGAACAGTGGATGTTATATTGTGTGTACCTATTATCAATTTGGGAGTCAAAAGGCTTGAAATGTTTATAATAAGTAGTTATCTGTGTTAATATTCTAACCTTCAAACAATATAAGTTAAAAAACGTTCATACATTTTATTATAAATTTGACTAAACGGCTGTATGAAATCTGGTAAAATTTGAGTAAAGAGGTTGCTTTAGAATTAGTATTAACTTTTTGTACGTTTTTTTTTTAATTCTCACCTTGTTCCAAAGGTCTAAAATTGTATGACGCGTATAATTTCCGCTTGCTTGATAGTTTTCGTAAGGAAACTCGCGTCATTAAGACATAGATCGTTATATTAGATATTTCGTCAACACAAGTTCACTATAACCTGTTGCTTGGCTAGTTGACCCAATAAATACCTAACTGTCCAATTAGTGATTTTCAATTTAAACTTTCGAAATCGTCATCCAATTGGAATAATATTTATATTATGCATAAAGTTATAAGTAATATATTTTATTATATAAACAAAATTGTAGATAAAATTCTTATCAGCGAACGCATTTAAAAGTTTTAACAGGTACCAAAAACTTCGTCGAAAGATTATAAATAAGTTTCGAAAATATATTTAGTAAATAAAATGTCAAAAACTTACCGGCCATGTTAGTTTTAACTTTTTTAACCACTAATCGAAGGCACAGGCACACTCACGAATCCCGTTATTGGAAAAGGGAATTCAAATGGAAATTAATATAAAATGTACGTCACGAAATAATCAACGCAGCACACGGCGTTTGATTAATCTGACACTGACACAATTTGACACAAAACGCCGGATTGCGTAATGTCAGAAATGTGATACCTGAAAATAATTTGAAACCTACCAGGGTCAAACATTTGGCTACGTGTGACCTTGCACGTATAAGTTCATTGACCATTATGTTATGGTTCAGATTGTTTAAATGAGTGTTTATGTTGTACACTATATACAATACCTACTGCACATTGTGCCCATCGAGTTAAATGGTGAAAAATGCGTTTTATTTTTCATTTTATTGGACACTGCCAGGCCGCTGATGCATAGGAAATTTAACAATTGAATCATTTAAACCTTAGAAGATAGAAGTAAGCTGCCTAAAGAAAGAAAAAAAGCAATTATGAGTAGTCCTTTATTTATTTACAGAAAATATCAAATATTTATAATGTTTTGAGGAAAGAAATTGTAGGATAGTTAGCTTCAAATGTGCCGAAGTTTCATTGTTTGCAAAGTTAAATCCTACCAATTTAGTAGAAGTGGCCAATGCCTGGTAACTTCGGCTTCCAGTGAGAGTAAACAATATTTTTCAAAGTATGTCGATATGTATATGTAAATGTCATAAAACTGAAATAAATATTATTCCAGCGCAAACATTTAGTACTTTCATTATCTAGTTTAATTAATTTATAGAATAAAAAGGTTTAAAATGAATGAAGCTTGTGAGAAACAAGCGCTGTAGCGTTCCGTTATTACCAACTGTTTATCCTATGTCATTGGCTATAGCTTTGTTTCACTCATCTCTATAAAAATAAAGTGAGACATAACATTATGCTTCCATAAATAACAGATTTCGCGGTTACTATGACGAAAAAATTGAAAAAAGTTCGTTGATGTCATTGTTATCCTAATTTATAACATTTTTATTTATTTATTCGTGTAATTTAACAATCAAAATGTCGACATTCGATCTAAACTCGATTAATTCAGCGCTTTCTGACTCGGGCAGGCCCATTAGTGGAGTGGATTTTTCTGGAAAATCTTTAAAATTGAACTCTGCAGATGATGGTAAGTTTAGTGATTTATTTTAAATTCCCCAACATTTATGATGATTTTGTGGTTAAACATGATGTTATTGTAACAATACTTAAAAGTTCTCCCAATTTTTAAGTATTTTGTTATCAACGTTTTGATGTTTTTCAAACATAACCTATAATCCAATGTTTCATTGAATTAATTATGTTTGCCTTGATTTTCCTGGTTTTATCTGCCCGGTGAACATATTACTTACATATATACTACCTATTATCATGCTCCAGTACCTGTCTCAAGGCTGTAATTGCGTTAACAGAGCTTGGAATAGTTTTTGAAAATGAATGCATTCTTCAAACCAGTGATTCTGAAAGAGTATTTATTCTTCAGCGGGTATAGTGCCCGATGCAGCTTGTTAGAACGTTCTTGAGTCTATTAGGATGGCATAGACATTTTGTTTTGGTGTTAGAATCAATAAAAATAACTCATTTGTACCATTCTATTGTTATCCTATGATTACCTATTAGAATTACACTTAGAGCCGATTTTTCAATCATCAGTTAATTCTTAACTGTAGAATAAAATTGACACTTTTAAGTATGGAAGTATTTTTAACCCCTCGATTGTTTTTATGAGCACTACGTGGATCATAGGAAAAAATGCTCCATGCTGCTTTCTCTTTTATAAAATCTATTATTAAGGAACGCGAACGCTCGACGGGTTAAATATTCAAAGTTATTCCTAAGTTGAAATTTATCTAGCTTTGAAAAAATTGACCCTTAAATACAAATAAACAAACGCTATTCAATTTTAATACTTAACCTGTTGGAAATCATCCGTTAAATTTGTTCATACAATAGAATAGTAGTCTCTAAACATCGGAAATAAGGTCTATAATGTAGTTAGTGGAAAGCGGACACCGGTGACCGCTTGGGGATAAATGGGTGTATAGCTTGTCACTAAAAATTCTTTATAAAATGACAGAGATGCCACGATATTTTCATACAGCTTTCAGTACTTGGGTGTTAAAGCGACATCTCTTAATCCCTGATTACATGGAAAGAAAATGACTTAAAAACAATAAAAAAAAAACACAACAAGTCACCAGTTACATAATGGGAGAAAAAAATTTTAAATTTTTTATAGGTATATTAGGGCTATAGAATGTATTTTAGATACATTTAAAAAATTGTATGTAATAGCCTATTGTTTTTCCAAGTCTGTGTGTCTGTGTACGTGAACTTGTATGTTTGTAAACGCACCCACGACACAGGAGATAATCTTAGTTAAAAATAACATCAAGTAACATACAAATCTATCTACCTCTCCAGCGCAACCAATCGTGGATGCCATCAATGGCTGCGCAGACCTCCAATACCTTACACTTACGGGGAACACGCTCGGAGTGTCAGCAGCCGAGGCTATTGCCAAGGCCCTGGAGCATCACCCCGAGCTGAAGATCGCTCGGTTCTCCGATATGTTTACTGGACGGATGAAGACTGAGATTCCTCCGGCGTTGGTAAGTCTTTTTTCGACATATGTATATGTCGTAGAATAATTTGATACTTCGAATCTTTGCGGAAATCCTAGGGGTTTTGCGAAAACGCGGATAATTAGACATAGGCGAAAAATTATCAAATCTTACTGGACAAAGTCAGGATTTTTGCGAAAATACTCATTAGTAATGAGTAATTACTATAGTAAGATTGCGAAACGAAACGCTGGCTGTTATGAAATAAGAACGCTGATTGGTCGGTCAGCGCGTTCAATAAGAGATCGTCTCTGATTGGTTGACGTCTTAAATGTTTTTTCGTCGTGTTAAACGACCAGTTTCATCCAATTTATGGATTACTCCCTAAAATTGGATCATTTTTTTTTACTACGACTGAGATCTTCTATTGTCTGTAGAAAACAACATACATACTAAAATTTTCAATAAAAGGTTTATAAAAATCAATTTAGTGATTTTTCTTTCTCACCTATTCTAAACCTTCATAACTCTATGATACAATACTTGAAGTTAATCATCGGCAAACTAGGAACCAATTAGAAGTCAGCCAGCAAAATTGTAGCCAATCAGTGTTGAGCACATCAAATCTTACTATAGTAACGAGTATTTTCGCAAAAATCCTGACTTTGTCCAGTAAGATTTGATAATTTTTCGCCTATGTCTAATTATCCGCGTTTTCGCAAAACCCCTAGGATTTCCGCGAAGATTCGAAGTATCAAATTATCCTACGACATGTACATACTATCAATCTCAATCTCTTTGACTGCATTTAGGTGTTGCATTGTTCTCACACAATCGAACCAAGAAAACTATGTAACTAAAGAATTGTATTGTAAACCCGATTGTTTTTTTATGGCATAAGCCGGTAAACGAGCAGATGGATCACCTGATGGTACGCACTCGGCGTCACCCATAGACACCTGGAACACCAGAGGCGTTACAAGTGCGTTACTGGCTTTTTGGGGATTAGGAGTTTAAGGATCGTTGGGGATTCAGGGATTGGGGAGATTGGGGAAGGGGAAGGAAATTGGGCCTCCGGGAACCTCACTCACACTACGAAACACAACGCAAGCGTTGCTTCACGTCGATTTTCTGTGAGGCCGTGGTATCACTCCGGTCGAGCCGGCCCATTCGTGCCGAAGCATGGCTCTCTTACACTCATAACTATTTGTTTCAGGCTGCGCTAGGAGATGGTATGATAAAAGCCGGAGCCAGGCTGAGTGTCCTCGACCTGAGTGACAATGCATTTGGACCCATTGGAGTCGAGGGGCTTGCCAAACTGCTGCAGAGTGATGTTTGCAGCGAATTAGAGGTATGTGACTCTTCGATTATATCTAAATGACGTCCATTGTGTTTTTTATGAGATAAGTCGGTAAACGAGCTGACGGATCACCTGATGCATTCACAAGTGCATTACCGGCCTTTTGGGGATTAGGATTGTTGGGAATTCAGGGATTGGGTAAGCCTTAACGGGGGACTTAACGGGTTGCCGGGGCTCCGCCTCGAAGGGCAGGAGTAGGAACGGGGTGGTTTTTAGTCAGTAAGAGTCTGACGCTTCCTCCCGCCTCACGCAGGCGGGAACAGTCATACATTGATTTTCCCCCCTTAAAAAAAGCAATTGGGGAAGGGGGGTGGTAATTGGGCCTCCGGTAACCTCACTCACACGACGAAACACAACGCAAGCGTTGTTTCACGTCTCATTTTTGTGAAGCCGTGGTATCTCTCAGGTCGAGCCGGCCCATTCGTGCCGAAGCATGGCTCTCCCACATACCTTCTTTAATATATCGCCAATCTGGGTGCTTACTCTTGAATTCAATTCCGATCGATCGACATTGATATTGTGTCGTACTCTTGAGTTGCAACACTAGAAAGAAAGAAAGAAAGAAAAATAATTTATTCGCCACCGACATGGACCACCGAATAACACACAAAATAATAACAAAATAACATTGAAAAACAAATAAAAAAAATAAAATAAAAGAAAAAACAATAAGAACAAAACAATAATAACATAAAAAAAACAGCAGTAAAAAATATAACAACAATGAAGGCAAAAAACATAAAAAAGCAAAATAAAAAAAAAAAAAAAAACAGGGTGGCAGCATGTCCGCGACGAAAGGGCTCACCAACTCAGTTTAAGCACTAGCGCCCATTGCATTCGTATTGCGGGAATATTGAATGAACTAAACAGTATTGAGTTTGTCTTTATATTCCGCACTCTGAATGCTATTGTAACAGCTACGATTGTGGTTGTATAGTGTTGACATTGAATAATTATTTAGATTTTATTGCATTAACATTGAGATTGGTTTCAAGAGTAAGCATCCTGGTCAGTATGTGTCCGTCTAGGGCGTCATTTCATTTAAATTCATTTGTTCCAGGAGCTACGTCTAAACAACAACGGATTAGGAATAACAGGCGGTCGGTTACTGGCTAAGGCGTTAGCAGCCAGACCACGCAAGCTGAAGATATTCATAGCTGGACGTAATAGACTGGAGAACGATGGAGCCACTGCGCTGGCTAATGTTTTTAAGGTAAAATGTGGTTATTATTCATTTTAAAACAGTTTAAAACATTTATTTCATAGTCAAAGTCAAAATCATTTATTTCAATTAGATCAGGGAGGCCCTTTTGAACGTCAAAACAAAATATTTAAATATTATATAATAAGAAAATTTGTCAGTCTGTAGGTCAGTCCTCTAGTGAAGCTATTTGCTCGTTCCAAGGTGTAGATTCCTATGTAGAAGAAAGAGCAAGAAACTCCATAGGTTACTCTTGTTCACAATACAATTTTTGGTTACATTCTTTCGCTGAATTCAATAATGTGAGAACAATGTAATACCAATATTCTCATAAACAAATTACATTGGTGTAATATGGAGTTTCTTGCTCGATCTTCTCCATAGGAATCTACGCCTTGGAATGAGCAAATAGCTTCACTTTTAATGTTTTGATGTTCAAAAGTGCTTTATTGTGCCTTTAGCCAAACGCCACTTTAGCGCTCGTCCATATAATTTAGTTTTCTATTCTACAAGTACTAATAGGGGTTGAGTCTATTACCATATCCCGGGCATAATTCCAGACTCCGTGCTACTACTGAGATGTTTTATAAAACCCAGTAATACTTTGCCCGACCCAGAAATCGAACCCGAGACCCCTTGCCCGGCAGTCGCACTTGCGAGGTACGAGAACGAGGCAGTCAACAACCAAATTATTGCATTATATACTTAAAAACACAATGTTTTTTTTAGTAGACTACGGTAAATTTTTAACTAAGAGTTACTTAGCATGAGGGATCACCTAAAACGCACCCCTCAACTTTACCGTTGGTGTCTTACCCTAAAATATAGGAGATGTTGGTGAAAATCGCCTTTAGGCTGTTACATCAACAGCCCATAAATGCCCACTGCTGAGCAAAGCCTCTTCTCACACGGAGAAGGTCTGAGCATTAATCACCACGCTTGCTCAATGCGGGTTGGCGATCACTAACTTATAATTAGAAATTATAAGCCCAGGTTTCCTCACGATGTTTTCCTTCACCGTTTGTCAGTGATGTCTGAATAATCTTAGAAAGTACCTACATATAACTCGGAAAAAGTCACATTGGTACTTGCCGTTGGTAGGTTTCGAACCCGCACCCTCATGCATGAGAAGTGGGCGCCTTATACTTCTGGGCCACCACGACATTGAGGCTGTTAGTTAAGCAAAATTCTAACTTAATAACCTCTCCTTTATTAAGTAAAAACGCGGGTTACTCACGTGAATATACCGAAAAAAGCTCTACTAGTTTCGAACCACAGAGGGGTTCTTCCTCATGAGCAGCGTGCGCGGTCGCGGCGACGTCGCGCAGCTCACTGGTGTAACCCACGTTTTTACTTAATTTAGTATGTCTCACGATAGTTATTATAAAAACAACCTCTCCTTTACAGAATATGGGCACCCTTGAAGAGTTAGCGATGCCTCAGAACGGTATCTACCACGTCGGTATATCTGCGCTGTCGGCAGCCTGTCGACAGAACCGTCGACTGGCGCGACTCAACCTCAACGACAACACCGTCGGCGCTAAGGGAGCTCAGGCCATCGCTGAGGCACTGCCCAAGTGAGTATTGTAGCTTACATGTCTTTCTTGTAGATTAAATTAGGGTTTGGGCAATAAAAAGGATTTTGAGCAATGACAAAATAATTTTGCGCAGTGACAAAGTAATTTTGCGCAGTAAAAAGACTCTTGCTCTGTGAAAAGTACATATTGTGCAGTGAAAATGTCAATTTGCTTTTTTTTTGTCGAATGTCATTTTGCGCAATGCAATGACAAAGTAATTTTGCGCAGTAAAAAGACTCTTGCTCTCTGAAAAGAACATGTCAATTTGCGCAGTTAATAAGTAATTTTGCACAGTGAAAATCTTTTTTGCGCAATAAAAAGTGTCTTTTGCGCAATCGAAATGTTATTATGCCCAACAAAATTAGGTTTAGCACAATGAAAATGTCATTTTACGCAGAGAAATACAAGTTTATGTTTTGAACTTAAACTTTGGATAACTGACTGCAACTGGCTGTAGTGCAACGTGGCGTGTGTTCGATTGATGCACGGAACAACTCTTTGTGTGATCCACGTATTGTAGTTCCGTGTCTGTGTGTCATGTGTATGTGAACTTGTATGTTTGTAAACAGACACACGACACAGGAGACTATCCTAGTATGAGGCAAAGTTTGTTTTATTAGACAATAAAATAGAAGAAAGTCATTTCTGCAAAGGAAACTAGAGATTTTCGCTGCAATAGAGGTGTTTTGAAAGTGTAGGCGCAAAAAGAAGTAGGTTTTTTATGGCATAAGCCGGTAAACGAGCAGACAGATCACCTGATGGTAAGCAATCAGCGCCGCCCATGGACACACGGAACACCAGAGGCGTTACAAGTGCGTTACCGGCCTTTTGGGGTTTAGGAGTTTAAGGATCGTTGGGTATTCAGGAATTGGGGAGATTGGAGAAGGGGAGGGTAATTGGGCCTCCGATAACCTTACTCACACGACGAAACACAACGCAAGCGTTGCTTCTCGTCGGTTTTCTGCTCGGCCGTGGTATCACTCTGGTCGAGCCGACCCATTCGTGCCGAAGCATGGCTCTCCCACACTTTAAGGTATTGCGCATTGCGCTATCTTTTTGAGAGCGAAGTGGCTAATAATTTTTATCGTTTTCAGCCTGAAAAACCTGAAAAGTATAAACTTCGGCGACTGTTTACTGAAGAGTAAAGGCGCCAGCGCGCTCGCAAAGGCATTTAAAGAAAATTCAATTTTATTAGAGGTATGTATAAGATATTTATTCTAACTTCGCATCAGGCTTCCTTATGCGTACTGCTAAGGAGTGGAATTGTTTGCCAGAGTCTGTATTTCCTGAAGGGTATAACCTGGGAGTCTTCAAGGCCCGAGTGAATAGGTTGCTTATGGGACGACGTGCTCCATCGTGGGCCGCGTCATCGTGCACCACCAGGCGAGATAGTAGGCAAACGTCGGCCCATCTTATACTATTATATAAAGCGGAAGAGTTTGATTGTTTGTTTGTTTGAACGCGCTAATCTCCGTAACTACAAGACTGATTTGAATAATTGTTCATTGCATTTTTTCCCCTCTTAAAGAAAGACACGTATTGTTTATTTCCTCATAAAATTAAATGCTTTCGACGATATATTAATTTGAAATATCGTGCGACATCACGATTTACTACATTTTATAGGGTAGCGTGACGTAACGACGTAACTCCTAAACTTAACTCCGTTTTATTTAAGTACTAGCTGAGCCCGCGACTTCGTCCGCGTGGAATAGTGATGCACAGCTCCTCCCCCGTAGTTGATAGCATGATAATATGTATAGCCCATATGTTGACCCGATCTATTAGTAATATTCATGCAAAATTTGAAGTAAATCCATGCGGCACTCTTTGAGTTCATCCCGGACATACATACAGACAAACATTCTAAAAAATATATTTTCGTTTCAGTATATGTATAGATTGTTTTATTATACGACGAAATAAAAAAATACGTGTCTAATATTTTTTCATTACCTAACTGACGGACTGATTACATTTTTAATTTTGATTCACTGTCATCGTTCCTATTATTCAATTCAGACTAGTAGTTTCGGAGGTTTTTTTTTAAGGGGAATATCATCGAATGACTGCTCCCGCCTGGGTGAGGCGGAAGGGAGTGTCAAACTCTTACTGACTAAAAACCACCCCGTTCCTTCTCCTGCACGTCGAGCCGGAGCCCCGGTTACCCGTTAGGTTCTCCGCGACTCCGAATCGGCATCGGCCCTGTTCAGCCCCATCTGTGGTGGTCTGATGGCTCTTTGAAGCGCGCGGCCCGCTGGGCGCCGTACGCTCGGGTCTGTTTCTGGTCGGACGGGCAGCCACCCATGCTGTATGTCCTCCGGCCCGCTGTCGGTGGCCGGAGATCGTCCCGCGATCCTCGACGCCCGGTGTGTCCTTCGCGATGGCTGGGTTGCGAGGACGCGCCCCGCCTCCTCCTTAGCTAGCATTGTTTCGGAGGTTAGCGCATAGAAACATACTCTTTAGTTGTATAAGTAATGTTTTTATATATTTTTTAGTCTCTAGACCTGAGCCACAACGAGATAGGCAGACAGCGTGTATGGAGGTAGTGGACGCTATCACCGCGCTACCTGACAGCTCAGAGAGGCTCAGCAGAGTCGTACTAGCTGGTGAGTTAGTTATTTTTATTATTAAAAGCGTATACTGCCTGCCTCGTCGGCCACGTACCGGACAAGGGGTCTCGGGTTCGATTCCCGGGTCGCACAAAGTATTATTGGGTTTTTTTATAAAAAAAATCTCAGTATTAGCACGGAGTCTGAAATTGTGCCCGGTATATGGCAATAGGCTCACCCCCTATTACATGGGACTCATAATATAAATAGTGAAAAGTGGGTGTTACATTGTACAGTGGCATTAAATGGGAGCTCGCCATGCTTTGCTACTGCAGTGTCGTCTCGACCAGGGTTATACGTCGAGCTGACAACCGTACTGACACACACAGCGCTGTGGGAGTGAGGTTACCGGAGGAAACACAGTTACCCCCCCCCCCCACCCTCCCCCAGTCCCTGAGTCCCCAACAATCCTCAAATTCCTTATTTCCAAAAGGCCGGTAACGCACTTGTAACGCCTCTGGTGTTCCAGGTGTCCATGGGCGACGCCGATTGCTTACCATCAGGCGATCCGTCTGCTTGTTTACCGGCTTATACCATAAAAAATCTAATTGTGATAAACAAGTTCCTATCGTGGCTTGAAATTAATCGTGCGACCCTCGGATGTTTATGTTAGTAAGTCGTACTACATTATTAATCTGGCAACTGACTGCCGCGCAACGTGTCGCGGGTTCGATTCCCGCACGGAACAATTCTTTGTGTGATCCACAGATTGTAGTTCCGTGTCTGTGTGTCATGTGTATGTGAACTTGTATGTTTGTAAACGTACCACGACACAGGAGACAATCCTAGTGTGGGGCAACGATTAAAAATTAATAATAACAATGTCGTGGTGGCCCGGAGGTTTAAGAAGCCCACTTCTCATGCATGAGGGTGCGGGTTCGAAACCTACCAACTGCAAGTACCAATGTGACTTTTTCCGAGTTATATGTACTTTCTAAGATTATTTAGACACCACTGACAAACGGTGAAGGAAAAACATCGTGAGGAAACCTGAACTTATAATTTCTAATTATAAGTTTGAAATCGCCAACCCGCATTGAGCAAGCGTGGTGATTAATGCTCTAACCTTCTCCGTGTGAGAAGAGGCTTTGCTCAGCAGTGGGCATTTATAGACTGTTGATGATGATGATGAATAATAAATTGGCTTCCGTGTATACCAGGTAACAGTCTCGGCGACGCTGGCAACAAGAAGACGATGCGGGACAAACTGGGAGCGTCCGCGGAACTCAGCGACGGAGAGGGCAGCGACGACGAATGTGAGTACTGTCTTACTAACTTTCGCATTTATCTATAAACTAGCGGACCCAACAGACGTTGTCCTGCATATCCACTTGAATGTATAAACAAAAATTCATTCAAATTAGTTCAGCTGTTTAGGATAAATAACCTCAACATCGACTGCAGCGCCATCTGCCGGGCTGATTTGTGAATCTAAATCATTCCCAGATCCCCTTGAACATACACAAAAAAATCATCAAAATTCGGTCCAGTCGTTTGAGAGAAGTTCAGTGACATACACACTCACAGAAGAATTATATATATAAAGATGTAATATACGGACCTTGTGGAATCTAGAACAATTTAGGCGCTTTAGCCATACCTATTACTGGAAGCAAGTTGCTTATAGGTAGGCGTACTCGATGGTCGCCAAACGTCGACCAGTTAAGTATAATAATCTATCTATACATATAATAAAATTGTAGAAAAGTGCTGTCTGTACATTGAAAATAAAAATAAAAAAAATAGCAGGGGTTATTGTTATGTCGATGTCGAACCCAAAAATGTAATTTACTTTTTTTTTGTCTGTTTGTCTGTTTGTCTGTTCACGCTAATCTCAGAAACGGCTGATCCGAGTTGGATGCGGTTTTCACGAATATATTGTGGTATGCTTCAGTTATGCTTTAGTGTTTGTTTCATGTCAATCGGTTCAAAAATAAAAAAGTTATGTCAAATTAAAGAATCACGTCTAACACTATTCTATGCTTATACATACAAAATGACTGTGATTATGATCCAAAATAAAAATAAGTATATACATATTTAAAAAAAAACCCTGCTCATAGTTTTTCTGTTGACGTCCGATGTGAACAGACGTGTGCATTATACATACTGTTGAATTAACGCAAGAGTGACCTACTAAATTATTTTTGCTTAGTTTGAAATTTAGTATTTTATAATGGAAACATAATCATATTTGAATAAAAATGGATAAAATCCCGAGCAACCTGGCTTCCTGTGCCTCACCAATAGAAAGCAGCCGTAAATCTGACTTCTCTATAGAAGCTGTGTCCACGCCCGACATTCAGAACTGGATGGCAAGCATTGAACAGCAGTTAAATGAAGTATGTGTCATTGCAACGGAAGGCAAACTCAATTCGGAGCAAAAGCTTAGAATATCAAACCTGAGCCGTAAAATTGGAGCTGATGTCTCGCAAATGGCTGTCCTTTATCAAGCTCTGAAGCAGCAAGCCCGCCTAGCCGTCAACATAATTGATGAAATGAGAGAAAACTGTGACCTTTCGGAACAAATTGGCGAGATTAAACAATCTCTCAAGGACTCAACTACAGCCAAGACTGTGTCTTTTGCGGACATGGTGAGAAAAGGATCCGATTTCGTTCGACCAAACAATCTGGCCTCTGTCGCTGTGTATCCGGCCAATAAATTGAAAACTAGCGAGGAAACTAAAACTATGGTGCAAACACTTATAAGTCCTAGTGAGATGAAGCTGCGCGTGCGTGGAGTCCGCAAGACACAAAACGGAGGTGTAATAATCAGCACTGAGTCGAAACAGGATGCTGAAAAAGTGAAGAATGCAGTTGGCCTGTCGTTATCCGGTCTTCTCGCAGACGAACCTAAGAAGCGCAAACCACGAATCGCAGTAATAGGAGTGCCGTCGACAATGACTGATACTGACGTCTTCAGGTGTATTTATGAACAGAACGTGTCTGACAAGCTCCCGGAGATGACAATGGAGTCTTTCTTAACATCAGTAAAGTTAAGTCACAAATCGGGAAGAAAGGATGCGCCGACCTGCAATTTCATCATCGAAGTTCCAGGCAAGATACGTAAAGCCCTTATATCCCAAGAGAGAATTTATATCAATTGGACTTCTTGCCCTGTCAGAGACTTTACGCTTGTAACGCGATGCTATAATTGCCAACTATATGGACACGCAGCAAAATCATGCAGAGAGATCAACTCATCGTGTGGCCATTGTGGAGAAGCAGGACATGTACAATCCTCGTGCACTAAAAAGTCGGAATCCCCTAAATGTGCTACATGCTCTCGTTACAATAAGCCCAATAAACATAAAACCGGAGACACTGACTGTCCGGCTAGGAAAATAGCTGAATATAGGTATATCAACTCTATCGATTATGAGGACACGTAAAGTGTCATACTCTCGGATTACAGAGTTGATTAACCTTCCCTTGCACATTAGTTAACATCGCAACAAGTTGGCGTACTCAATAATTTGTTGCTGTTCAAGCATATTTTATTGTAACACCAAGTGAATGACCGTTTGGACTGTAATCTAGATTATGTTTCTGTTGATGTATCAAATTCTTCAGTACTATAGTTCCTACAATGTTTTATATATATATGTATATCTATGTTTTGTATTTAAGCTAATATAATTACTTGTTTAATAAATGTACTTATACGATAATATTAATATTTAGTTGTATGTTGTTTAGTGTGTATGTATGTATGTATATTATTAAATAATCAACTTTACTTTACTTTTGATCGATTACTTATGTTATGGAATTTGTTTATATAAATAACTTGTCCTAGAATTAGTAACATTGTGTGTGCTCCTTTCGCCTGTGATACAGGATATTTTTCCTAGTACAGGCATTCAAACCTAGTGAGGTCTCTGATTTAAAATTAAGATTTTTATCTGTACTATGACCAATTTCTTATAATGAATAAAGATTTATAAAGATTTATTTTATAAAGATTTATTATAGTCACTATTCCACGCGAACGAAGTCGCGGGCACAGCTAGTAAAAAATATAATTAATACATCGATCGACTAAAGCATATCAGTCACAGTCGGTTTTAAATGAATAAAGAATAAAAAGATTATTAGATATCCGTATTCCCTAAATAATGCTGTTTTGTTGAGAGTGCCCATGGTCCGTGATCTCGGAGTTTTGCTGGATGATAAACTACACCTAGATGCACACATAAGTAGGATTGTCGGCAACGCCTATCGTATGTTCGGGTTTGTGATGAGATCGTCAACGGAGTTTTTACGCCCAAGTACATACTTATATCTTTATAAGTCTTTGGTCAGGTCTCAGTTGGAGTATGCGGTGCCGGTGTGGAATCCCTTTTATATTAAATATTCAAATAGTATAGAAAGAATACAAAATAAATTTTTAAAAGCTGTTCATCATCGCTGTTTTCGTGTGGCTGCAGGCTATAATGACTTGCTTAAAAGGTACAAACTTCCCGGTCTTCAGACTAGGAGATTAATTTTGGAGACTATGTTTTGTATGATTTATGTAACAATGCATATGACTGTATGGACATTTCCAATCGAATGCGGTATGTAGTGCCCAGAACAATAGTGAGCCGTGGGGTGCGCTCGAGACCTGTATTCTTCGTTGGCTCATGTCATACTAATGCAGGCTTAAGGGCACCCTTACGTCGCATCGCTGATCAGTACAATAAATATTTTAGCCACATTGATTTGTTCGCAGCGTCTAAAAATAAATTCAGAAACCTTGTCCGGGAATCTGGTAATGATTGGACTCAATAATTATTTCATAGATACATTATTTTTTTTAAGGTGTTTTTTTTTTTATATATCCATTTAAACATACAATGCATATTCATTAACTGTTGTATTTGATTAATTATGTTATCGCGTCCTTTTTACCGATGTAAAAATTTATAATTTAGACACATTGTAAACTATAGTTTATGACTGTATCAGTTTTGTTTGTGAATTTATGTATGTAGTGTGCCTACCTAAATTGTACGACTTCTTTTAACTACTTTTTTTTTGTATTCTGTGGAGAATGTCGTTGATTATACATTTATTCTATTCTTTGATATTTGATATAATGTATTATTATAGTGTATAATTGTTAATTTTCCCAAATAAATAAAATAAAAATAAATAAAATAAATGACCGACTGTCAATTAAAAAAAAAACAAGTCAAAATCATTTATTTCAATTAGACCAGGAAGGCACTTCTGAACGTCAACGAAGAAGTTATATTGACTGGTAGAGAATGCCATATGGCATTAAGTTCGCCTTATGTACCATAAACAAATTATGTACATTAAAGAATAAATCCTTACTAATATTATAAATCGGAAAGTGAGTTTGTTTGTTTGTTTGTTCCACCTTCACGCCGTAACTACTCAACCGATTGCTTTGAATTTTTGCAGACGTAAAGTTAGAAGTCTCGATTAAATAATAGGGTACTTTTTAACCCGGAAAAATTGATATTCCCGAGGAAAAACAAAAGTATTGGTATAGATGGCGCTGTGTGTATTGGTATATGTCACATAGGCTACTTTTTATTCTTTTGTGACGCGAGCGAAGCCGCGGGTAAAAGCTAGTAAATAAATAAATAAATATTGAAGCTATTTGCTCATCCCAAAGTGTAGATTCTTATGTAGAAGAACGAGCAAGAAACTCCATAGGTTACTCTTTTTCAATCAGGTTCACAATACAATTCTCTAGTTACATAGTTTTGTTGGTTCGATTGTGCGAGAACAATGTAACACCAAAATCCAGTCAAAGAGATCGAAAAAGAAAATAACACTAAGGACAATAAATAATACAGTCTGGAGCTGACCAGTCCCAGTTGACGGGTCCCGTTCACGAACATGCCACGTACCCCAGCCCCGCCCAACCCAACCATATTGTAGGGAATCGAGCGATCCACTGCACGCGCCACCGCCAATGAGACCCTTGAGTGAGCATGACAACTCCAAGCTGACACAAATGCATTCTAATATTTAATTTAATATTAAGTTAATAGGGTAGATGGCTAATTTTTATTTTAATGTCCGTCTGGTAGATTATTTTAAATCATTACACACGTATTTTTTATTTTCTTACAGAAACGAATACTTTCGACGATATATTGATTTGAAATGTCGCGTGACGTCACTTCTATGTACATTTTATACGTAGAAATGACGTTTTAGCCCCCACTCCTAAACGATTCGTTTTGTCTAAGTATTGTTTTATTATACGAGAAAATAAAAAAACGTGTCTAATATTTTTTCATTACCTAACTGACGGACTAATTACATTTTTAATTTTCATACCCTGTCATCATCCCTATTACAGGGCTCTCACATTTACAATGGTTATGCAAGTTAACTCGTCGAGTACCGGTTTTATAGACACAATTAAAGAACAATAGGACGCGGTCACCGGTGACCGCTTGGTGTTTGACAGTTTAAGCAATATACATTTTCCTTTCACAGATGTTACGGACTCGGAAGAAGAAGGCTCCAACTCGGAAGATGACGATGATGATGACCAGGCAGGGCACGGGTCCGAGGACAGTGCCACGGAGGATGCACAGCACCTCGATACTTCTGCTGACTTCGCGAAAAATCTCACCTTGAATACTTCAGGTGAGAGAATATATGTATTATTAGAAAACTTAAAAACTGTCATAGAGTTCACCTTACTCTTTGATATAAGGAACTTATTGGTTTTAAACCACATTGGATTTTAGAAACTCAGGAGGCAGGAGAAATGAAGAGTACCACCATTACAATTCACCTTATATTGTTAACATCTAAATCAAATTACAAATTCAGAACTAGCTAAACCATAATTATTAATTGGAAAGGAAAACAACAACAGTAACACATGAATAGGCAAATTGACTTTCAAATAGAATAAAATTCCCTCAACACCAAATACACCGTCTCAATAATTTCCGAGTTCCCGCCATCTTGACTTTTTCATTGTTCGAACCACAGATTATATTTTCCCGCTACGCGATGACATTTCGTTCCTTTTTGTCTATGCTTCTAACAGTATATTTAATGATAGTTCCTACAATTAGAATACAATAAATAGCGCTTTTAAATATCAAAGATTGGTCGTGGTGGCCCGGAGGTTTAAGACGCCCGCTTCTCATGCATGAGGGATCGAAACCTACCGACGGCAAGTACCAATGTAACTTCTTCCGAGTTATAAGAACTTTCTAAGATTATTTAGTGACAAATGGTGAAGGGAAACATCGGGTTGAAACCTGGGCTTATAATTTCTAATCATAAGTTTGAAATCGCATCGCATTGAGCAAGCGTAGTGATTAATGCTCAAACGTTCTCCGTGACTCCGTGCTACTACTGAGAATTTGTAAAACCTATAGTCCATCTGTTTAGGTAATTAACTAAAGGTAAACAAAGAAAACCACGTGACACAGAGATACTTAACCTACTATTACTTCAAATATTTCTCGTGTTTTAATTTTAACTAAATTCACTTTAAAATCGTTCATTTGTCATACACATACATACAAGTACAAATGCCTAAATCGTACAAGAGCCTAGCCTATGGGTCTATTTCATTATCATGTTTAAATAGAAACTATTCTGAATCTGATGTACGGATTTCTTTCTTGTACGGATATGTGTCTTTGGGCCAAGTTTCTTCAATATATTTGAACACATTAATTACAAACGATGAATAACCTAAACTTAAATAACTTAATAACAAAAACAAAACCAAGAAACAAGATAAATTCAACAAAATAGGAACGCGAGCGCAAACGACGAGAGAGCTGTCAATGGCGCCTGATTAACCGACTAAACGTAATACACGCTACTTTCATTGTCGCGCTACATCTTAGTTGTACTTTAATATGACAACATTATTTTGCTTCGTTCTTAAAGAAACGTTTTGGATACCTGGGATTTTAGGCTCTTTATGGTGTCCATTGTAATGAAATATTAAATTATTTAATAAATGTTATTAAATTAATATCCTCAAGCAGATATATATAATATTTACTAAGAAATAAGTGAAAAGGAACAGAAACATAACATTTCATAGAGAAAACTGTCGTAAAAAGGGAAACAAATTTATTTTCTTATAAAGTATTTTGAAACATGGAAATGTCAACTATAAAGAACTCTTTTTATGGTTTGTTTACAAATAGTTAACTACCTAAACAGACGGAGTATAGTAATACTTTGCCTGATCCGGGAACTCAGGACACCTCAGAAAAATAAAGTAATTAATGATAGTTATAAATTAAACTACAAAACTTCTATTTTTGGTGATGAATTGGCATCAGGATTTGGTAAAATGTTACAATGACCCGAAGGTTTAAGACGCCCACTTCTCATGCATGAGGGTGCGGGTTCGAAACCTACCAACGGCAAGTACCAATGTGACTTTTTCCGAGTTATATGTACTTTCTAAGATTATTTAGACACCACTGACAAACGGTGAAGGAAAAACATCGTGAGGAAACCTGAACTTATAATTTCTAATTATAAGTTTGAAATCACCAACCCGCATAGAGCAAGCGTGGTGATTAATGCTCTTACCTTCTCCGTGTGAGAAGAGGCTTTGCTCAGCAGTGGGCATTTATAGGCTGTTGATGATGATATTAACAACAGTTACCATAGTCTGAGTTTTAATAAAATAATTGAAAAAATAACTCAGACAGAATTAAATGAAAAGTCTATGATAGTTTTAACAATAGGTAATAGTTTAGGTATAAAAAGAAGGGATATAGTGAATGGTGTGGACACCTTATTAAAACTTAACGTGGGAAAAGTAATGCTTTGTGCATTCCCGTATTCTAATTCTTTGTCACACACTAAAACTAAACACATTGGTGTACTGAATAGTACATTACACCAACTGACATGTTGTCATAGTGACAAACTTTTATTTTTTGATACTAATAAGTTTATTAGTGATTTTAAACTGTCAAACACCAAGCGGTCACCGGTGACCGCGACCTATTGTTCTTTAATTGTGTCTATAAAACCGGTACTCGACGAGTTAAATTGACAGAAAAGGGTATGTGTACCTTTCAATAAAACAAAGACAAACTATTGCTATGCTGATAGCATTTAATATTAACATTGTTATAAATAATATAACAATTACTAGTTGTAGGGACGAATCTGTGCTGTCTAGGCAACCTAACAGTACTATGATAAATTTTAACTGTAACAACATTACTTTAACTAATAATACTAGTTTAAACTAGATTGTAAGACAACAGAACATACCATCATAGATAATGTTAATAGTAAGGTATATTCTGGCAGTATCACCATCATCATCATCAACAGCCTATAAATGCCCACTGCTGAGCAAAGCCTCTTCTCACACGGAGAAGGTTTGAGCATTAATCACCACGCTTGCTCAATGCGGGTTGGCGATTTCAAACTAATAATTAGAAATTATAAGCCCAGGTTTCCTCACGATGTTTTCCTTCACCGTTTGTCAGTGGTGTCTGAATAATTTTAGAAAGGGCAGTATATTTAAGACTAAATATAAAAATATATCACATAAGTATAAACAAAACAACTTGTTAACACTATTAACTCGTCGAGTACCGGTTTTATAGACACAATTAAAGAACAATAGGTCGCGGTCACCGGTGACCGCTTGGTGTTTGACAGATTAAGTCAAAATATACAGGGCTGCTCATCAAAATTACTTGAAATAGAATTGGTTTTAGAAAAATTTACGTATGATATTATTTGTATAACTGAACATTGGCTGAAGGACTACCAGGTAGAATCTATTCATTTTGATAACTATTGTGTTGGCGGCTGTTATAATCGTCAAACAATGATACATGGTGGTAGCCTGAACTTAGTAAAAAATTCAGTAAACTAAAAGGTGAGACAAGATATTGCATTACTATCAATAGAACACACAATTGAGTCATAGTATAAAGAACAAAGTAGGTTATCTTCATACAAATGCTCCGCGCGCGGCTTATATGTGTGCGCCATAGTATCTATGCGTCGACGCACGCACACTTTAACAAAATCTCGACCCGTTTCTCAGTGCGCCAGGCAGGGCTAACACTGCACGAGGTTCGCGCGCGCATCACTTTTCGGCACTGTTAAATGAAATAAAAAATGTCTGATAACCGTAGAAGAACGTATTGCTGTGTGTTTGGGTGTCTTAATAATTAATCGATTCCAGAACTGTCTCTGTTCAGATTACCTATTGAACAGGAAAGGTAAGCTAGTCACTTTTTCTAGCATAATATAATTTGTAGGTACTTGATGATGAGATACCTACTTACTTATTCTTACTCTTATCATTCTTCATAGTTCCTACTCAACCAGAAAGAAGAATTACCTACTAACTACTATACTTAAATATTATAATAAAATGTGGTATTGTATTGTTTATTTCATAGTTTATCTGATTTGTTAAGAGCGTGGCCGTGTCGCATTTTTCCAAATTTACTTTCTGAATACTATGTATAGAGCTAAAGTTTATTTTAAGAAGTTAATAATCTTTTTATAAGCTTTTTATTTTTACTAAATTTATAAATTGATAAAATATTCAATCATAATATGCTTTTCATTTCATAAATTTAGATCAAGTGCTGCTTGTTCGAAAATATTAACAAAAAGTAAAAGTGACAACCCTGGGGATCAAAGCAAGAGTAGGCTAATAACTCGGCGGCCGGCCTTAGATAACCTACTGTGTTCTTTATACTATGATTGAGTTGTCCTGTGTTGAGCTGGATAGGTATATTGTAGTATGTGTTTATAGGCCTCCTAACTTGCAGAATCTGAATTCTTTTAGTTCAGTAATGGAAGATGTATTGCAAAAAACGTGCTCCAATAGTAAATATACCATAGTATTTGGCGATTTTAATATTGATCTCTTGGAAAGAAATTCTAATTGTACTAACTTGTTAAGCCTCTTTAGATCTTTTGATTTGTCTAATGTTTTCCTGGAACCCACCCGAGTAACTTCCACCTCGGCAACATGCATAGATAATGTTTTTTGTAACTGTGATTATTTACATAAAGACATTGTAAATATATTACCATCTGATCACAGTGGGCTAACAGTAAATTTTGACGCTATCACAACTATACAAAAAAAGGAAATTATATTCAGACAAATCACGGTTAAAAAAATTGAGTCATTTAATCACAACTTAAGTAATTAATTATGCGGCCAAATATGTGATAGTGAATACCCAAGTGAGATTTATGCCAACTTATTGTCCATTATTAAAACACAGTTTGATACAATGTTCCCTTTAAAACGTAAAAACATTAAATGTAAATTTGTATTCTGTGACTGGGCTACACCAGGTATTCGTAAAAGTAGGGGAAAGTTATTTGAGCTTTATGGTATGAAGCCATTTAATAATAGTGAGGCTTTTCACAGCTATGTCTCCAGATAATCGAACCAATAAAACTATGTAACTAAAGAATTGTATTGTGAACCTGATTGAAAAAGTGTAACCTATGGAGTTTCTTGCTCGTTCTTCTCCATAGGAATCTCCACTTTGGAATGAGCAAATAGCTTCACTTATAAATTTTTGTTGTTTGACGTTCAAAAGTGCCATCGTGGGTCTAATTGAAATAAATGATTTTGACTTTGACTTTGACCTTGTCCCACGTGCGACCAACGAGGCATTGACGTTAATATTATCGTCCGTATGCGTCCAGGAGTGGAAGAAGTCCCGAGCGACGTGGGCAGGTTCCTGTCGCAGCCCACCGTAGACAACTTGGCCCGCCTGGGACCCGACGCACACGATGTCATCGACGCCCACCTACAGGTCATTGTGTTCCCTACTACCTGGCTGTATAGCACCATACTTATAGCAGCTATAATCATTATTATTATTTCCCAATCATTATTTCATTTATTGAATTATATTTATTTATTTATTTATTTATGTACACACATACAACATTAAGGACAACACATACATAAAATTAAAGTACAAAGGTACCACCTATTCCTATTGGAATTTCTTCCTGTGGACCTGGAGCAGGAAAAGTAATAATAATATAATGACACAGTGTGTAGTAACAAATAGAAAATTTAATGAATTATACATAATTAATTGAATTAAAAGAAATAATTTCTCATTCTATTAAAATTACTATATCATTTATTAAAAATTTGCTGGAAAAATACTAAAATTAAATTGGTCATAAAATCAATTAATGAAAGTGTGATTATTATTTAATATTCTATTGTATTGAACAGTCGAAGTAATATATTTTTGGTTGAAGTAAATACCCAATTGTAACTGTTATTTAATGTAAAGGTCACCTATTTAACACGCACGCCTCCGGTACAGCCCAGCACGGCGTTATTTGCTTCGGAAACAATACAAAATGGTTGTGAGTGCGCAGTCGGCGCTCAGGCAGTACGCTTACAACTTTTTTACATTAACATTATGAAATATGTCATACGACATGCTAATTAAGGTTCATATTTAAATAAAAATGACATTGTCGGGTTGGAGCTGTGGCGAAGCCGTGCTTGTTAAGTGTGCCTTAAGCGTGAAATTTCTTTCGCCGTATGTTAACCTTAAAAATATATATTCCACAGTCAATAAAAGACCCGGCGTCACTGATCCAAGCGTACGTAGAAGCGACGTTCAGTGTCGCCGGCCTGTCGGAGCAGAGTCCTCTAGCGAACGACGTGGCGAACAAATTGTTCCCCATACTTGTCCAGAGGGCCGGGGAACAACATGCCGCCGCCTGGATACTGGCCAATACTGTGCTCAGCGCGCTCGGCTTGATTAAGGTCAGTACCGTAACATCACGCCTGCAGTCCCCGAAGGGGTAGGCAGAGGTGCACACAGAAGTAACACCCACTTTTCACTATTTATGCTATGAGTCCCATGTAATAGGGAGTGAGCCTATTGCCATATACCGGGCACAGTTCCAGACTCCGTGCTACTACTGAGATTTTCAAAAACCCAGTAATACTTTGGCCGACCCGGGAATCAAACCCGAGACCCCTTGCCCGGCAGTAGCACTTGCGACCACTCGTCCAACGAGGCAGTCAAGACAATAAGTTACATAAAAAGTAAAACAAGCTAATAATAGCGGGTACTACGCGGTGTTGGGGACATGCCTAATCCGAATGGGTCGCCGACTCAGCAATAAGTTGTGTTCAAGATGCGATCGGGGCAGACGCGGCTCCTATGCATCAATTTGAGGGCGTATGAAACAAGTGAATTTATTTCTGCAAATAGGCTACAAGGCAGCACTTTTACACGTCAATTTTATCAAGCGGACGATGAGGTCGACATTTCCTAACTGACTCTGAGAAGAAATGCCGAAACAAACTCAGAGGCCCATCTCTTTTAAAGTCCAGACAATATGTATAAGAGATTATGTGTGAGAACCGTGCAATTATATACATTATGCTATTGTACACAACTTAAATAAATAATATAATTTACTTTTTTTCTTCTCCTCTTATAATATCTTCTGATTCACTTCGTTGCGGGAACCAAGACAGTTACTCATGTCCCTGGGACGCGCCGGACTTCAGTGTTCCGGTGTTTTCATGGTTGTATCTACTGTAGATCCTGGTGCACAGGAGTTGCAGTGGTTTTGGAAGGTCGTAGCGGGCTTGTCCCAATAAAAAAAAATGTTTTAATAAATACACTAGGGTCGGCAGACTAAACCATATAAGACAAATAATGTTTTTGTTATTATTATACCAACAACGTTCAGATAAATGACTGGTAGAGAATGCCATATGGCATTAAGTTCGCCTTATGTACCATAAACAAATTATGTACATTAAAGAATAAATAAATAAATAAATAAAAGGCTCCAAATAAGATCACTTTCAAACGCGATGTTCACGATTTCTTTTTAAAGTCACTACAACGCTGAGTCTACGTCTATTATTATTATATATGTATTATTATAGAATTTATTTATTTAGTATATATATATATATGAGCATGCATATATATACCTATATATTTATGTTGTATTTATATTATAGTGTACATTTTAAATATTTTTTGTACCTATATTTATTAAAGTCTATTTATGTTATTTGTTTCTTATAATTACACATGCCTATTTTTTCGCCGTTTTTCAATTTAACCCTAAGGTTGACTGGGAGAGAATGCCATATGGCATTAATGTCCGCCTTATGTACCATTACTTGTTTATGTGTACATTAAAGCTTAAATAAATAAATAAATAAATAAATTTTAAAATGTGTCTTTCAAGTCCCGAGTGAACAGTTTGCGGTTTTGGGATGTTGTAGCGGGCTTGTCCCATACAAAAATATATAAATAACACTGGCACATTGCCTATTTATAAAGGTTTAAATCACCTGCTACTTTCATCTCTGCACTGCTTATAGGTTGACTGGAAGACAATGCCCAAGGCATTAAGTCCATCTGGACACACTTGTTGGATGAAGTTGAAATAAATAAATTAATAAATTAACTAATGTTTCTTTTTTATCCACAGTCCGAGGACAAAACACGTCGCATCCGATGGGCCCTGGGTCCATGTTACAACTCCCTATCCCGAGTCATCGACGCCCCGTACTTCCCCCACGCCTTAAGAGATACCATCAGATTCTTCGCCAGCAGTAAGAAAAACACGATACCATTCGCCGAGTGTCTATGTCGGTAAAATCTTGTTAAGACATTCAAGTGCCTAAATAAACCCAGAGTCGATCAAAATCGTTTTTATAATAACTATCGTGAGACATAGTAAATTAACTAAAAATCGCGGGTTACTCACGTGAATATACTGAGAAAAGCTCTACTAGTTTCGTGTGACCTGCGCGACGCGCACGCTGCTCATGAAGAAGAACCCCTCTGTGGTTCGAAACTAGTAGAGCTTTTCTCAGTATATTCACGTGAGTAACCCGCGATTTTTAGTTAATTTCGATCAAAACCATTCATGAACGGTTTAATGATTCATTATGTAAGAGGTCGCTAATAAACTGCTCGTTATAGACAAAACCATTACCGAACGGGCCAGGGTGCTTACTCTTGAAACCAATCTCAATGTCAATGCAATTTCAATCCAATAATTATTCTATGTCAACACTATACAACCACAATCGTAGCTGTTACAATAGCATTCAGAGTACGGAATATAAAGACAAACTCAATACCATTTAGTTCATTCAATATGCACGCAATACGGATGTAATGGGCGCTAGTGTTGCAACTCAATAGTACGACACAATATCAATGTCGATCGATCGGAATTGGATTCAAGAGTAAGCCACCAGGAGCTTGTAGTATATTATAATTTTGTATAATTAATAACTGACTTTGTTTTTATAATAACTATCGTGAGACATACTAAATTAACTAAAATCGCGGGTTACTCACGTGAATATACTGAGAAAAGCTCTACTGGTTTCGAACCACAGAGGGGTTCTTCCTCATGAGCAGCGTGCGCGGTCGCGGCGATGTCGCGTAGCTCACACGAAACTAGTAGAGCTTTTCTCAGTATATTCACGTGAGTAACTTGCAATTTTAGTGAATAACTGACTTACTGTATTGTTACTAGTGAAAGAGATGAAGAATACAGATAATAATGTATCTGTAAGATGTTCCAAGATTATCATACCACGATGTGATTTTGTTCAAGAAAACCAGTTGGTATAAACCTGTTTAGTCGGCGGAAAGATTGTACAAAGAGAAATCATGATAACTTTGTCACTTGAATTATTTGGTGATGGTTTGATCACAAACAAATTTTTGAATTAGACATATTATATACTATAGCGACTGCGTACGGCGCGTCGCGTTCTGCGCGCGCCTCAAAGAGCCATCAGACCACCACAGATGGGGCCCAATAGGGCCGATGCCGATTCGGAGTCGCGGAGAACCTAACGGGTAACCGGGGCTCCGGCTCGACGAGCAGGAGAAGGAACGGGGTGGTTTTTAGTCAGTAAGAGTCTGACACTCCCTTCTGCCTCACCCAGGCGAGAGCAGTCATTCGATGATTTTCCCCCCTTAAAAAAAAAATACTATAGCGACCAGACCCGGCATCGCAAGTTTGCAACATACATGTATTATACATATAAACTTATTATTTCTTTAAGAATCACTCTATCTATTAAAAAAACCGCATCATAATCCGTTGCGTAGTTTTAAAGGTCTAAGCATACATAGGGACAGACAGACGGCGGATAGCGACTTTGTTTTATACTATGCAGTGATGTATACGGTACCTTGCCTCATTAAAACTATTTTAATCGATTCTGGGTGTTTTGTTCCATAGATTTTTGGGCATTCCTCTTTACTTGTGTAAGTTTTTGATGAGGTAACTTGATATTCATCTCGTTATGATCCCATGTTTAGTTGTATCCCTAAGGGCCACTGTACAAGTGCCGGGCGCTAGTTACGGAGGGCGCCGCGAGACGTGCGGTCACTACTGCACATAGTGACGGCGGCTAATACAAGATGCGCCTACGAGATACCTGCCTAGGTGGCTCTCTAGGTTTTGTCCGCCTCTAAAGTGTCCACTGCTGACCAAAGGACTCTTCTCACACGGAGAAGGTTTGAGCATTAACTCGTCGAGTACCGGTTTTATAGACACAATTAAAGAACAATAGGTCGCGGTCACCGGTGACCGCTTGGTGTTTGACAGTTTAATTAACACGCTTGCTCAATGCTGGTTAACGATTTCAAACTTATAATTACAAATTATAAGCCCAGGTTAACGATGTTTCCCTTCGCCGTTTGTCAGTGGTGTCTAGATAATCTTAGAAAGTACATACAACTTGATAAATTGTAATTAAACTGTCAAACACCGCGAGGACACCGGTGACCGCAACCTATTGTTCTTTAATTGTGTTTATAATGACGGTACTCGACGAGTTAATCCGTATGAATACATATTAACTCGTCGAGTACCGGTTTAATATAGTTTATAACAAGTTTTAGCGAGGCTAGAAATTGATCGATATACCTCATCAGACTGTTACAATGAGTAAAGGGTTAAATATTATTATTTAATACATGCCTGGTTTTATCAACCTCTCCTAAATTATAATGAACCCCTTACCAAAGGTGATTGACATTTAACGACAATAGGGTAGACGACTAATTTTTATTTTAATGTCCGTCTGATAGATTATTTAAAAACATTAGACACGTATTTTTTATTTTCTCACAGAAACGAATACTTTCGAAGATATATTGATTTGAAATGTCGCGTGACGTCACTTCTCAGTACATTTTATACTAAGAAATGACGTTTTAGCCCCCACTCCTAAACTTTGATTCGTTTTATCTAAGTATTGTTTTATTATACGACAAAATAAAAAAATACGTGTCTAATATTTTTTCATTACCTAACTTACGAACTAATTATATTTTTAATTTTCATACCCTGTCATCATCCCCATTAATTTGGTTTTTACAAACTTTTAAGTGACACCTAACAGTACAAGTAAGTTAAGAGATGGTTTAGGGGCGGTCGGTGGAACCGGCTATTAGTTGTAGTAACAGTTGAGATGGTTTTAAACGATTTTTCTGTAAAAGACAATTTAAATAATGTAATACTTATTGTATTGTGTCCCTGCCTCGGTCCTGCTGGGCCGGCTCGACCGGAGTGATACCAACGAGCTGTACACCATACTGACACAACGCCTGTGTTGTCGTGTGAGTGAAGTTACCGGAGGCCCAATTGCCCCCTCCCCATCCCCCTCTCCCCAAATCCCCCCTACCCCAATCCCCCAACACCCTCTGCCCCAATGTCCCCCTTATCCCCCAATTCCCGAATATCCAACGATCCTCACATTCCTAATCCCCAAAAGGCAACGGAACGGAAGGTAACGCACTTGTCACGACTCTAGTGTTCCGTGTGTCCATGGGCGACGCCGATTGCTTACCATCAGGTGATTCGTCAGCTCGTTTACAGCTCTATTGTATAAAGAAATCAAATGTTCATATGAAAATAGTTCGTTTAAAAGTAACTCGACTGTCTAACATAAGTTAGGGAATATTTTTCAATGAAGTAATGAATTATGTATTTTGTAACCAAAATGTGGTTCAAATATGAACGGATTTATTCCTTCGTGGTTACCCGCTGCTCGGCTCCTATTGATCGTAGCGTGATGTTTTATATATAGGTCGATCGCCATCAACCGGTTGGCCACCTAAACTAAGGGGTGGCTCTACTCCCTCCCCTCCTCCTCCCTCCCTCCCCTCATAGCAACTCCATAAAACTTACTACCATGGGGGAGGATGGGTAAAAATGACTAAATAACCCCACGCGGATATATGGATGCCTCCTCATAAATTACATTCATATTTGTACTGCATTGTATTTATAAATTTGGTTAGTGAAGTAATTTTCAATTAGTACGTACTATTGAAAGTTTGTTATATTACATTCGCTTTACGTGACACCGACTTTTCACTATTTATGTTACTGGGGACTATATTAATTTAACCATTCTCACTTAATGGGGGCTACCGTCTTTCCCGCTCACTAGATGGCACTAGTGTTTCCTTCCGTCTTCTCGTCCAATAGGGAATTTTGCTCACACCGTTATGTTACCAATTTTGACAGTTACACAATAAGTTTTCTTCCTGTGTCGTGGGTGCGTTTACAAACGATATAAGTTTTTTTTTAATGGGGGAAAATCATCGAATGACTGCTCCCGCCTGTGTGAGGCGGGAGGGAGTGTCAGACTCTTACTGACTAAAAACCACCCCGTTCCTTCTCCTGCACTTCGAGCCGGAGCCCCGGTTACCCGTTAAGTCCTCCGGGGCTCCGTATCGGCATCAGTCCTATTGGGCCCCATCCGTGGTGGTCTGATGGCTATTTGAGGCTCGGGGACCGCTCGTCGCCGTACGCTCGGGTCTGGTTCTGGTCGGGCGGCGAGCTACGCATGCTCGCCGTGGAATTAGTGCCATCTAGTGTTCGAACGGTAGTCCCTATTCGGTTTATGATACTGTCAGCTTTGTATTAAAATATTGTAATTTTATTAATATTATAATTGTTAGTTCATCTTCTATAGTAGTACGATACGAATGTATTAATTTTGTATCTATAGTCAGAATTTTAATTAGATTCCAGATTTGACAATAGCTACTGTCATTTTGTGAAATAATGATACCACATATAATAGTGTAGTGATGCACACAAAAATCGATAAACAATCGGTGTGTGTGTTTTATAATAAATCCTGTGACAGGATAGCGATGACGGCGACAATTTATAAAATAACTTATTACCATAATACATCTATCTGTTTTATTTGTCATGTTCCTTCATGATTACATTTTTTTATTTATTTCACACACAATTATAAAAGAAAAGTCTCAGATCGTTAATTAATCGTCAAAACTAAATTATCGGTTCAGAAATATTTAATTTTCTGATATACTTAGTTTACGAGAGTAAAATTATAAACGAGAAGAATCGATCCAGAAATATTGCATTTCCATATCGAATAATTTCGCAACGTCACTATTTAGTACTTGTCATAACGTTGCAACACTGAAATTGTCAAATCTGGAATCGAATTAAAATTCCGAGTATAGTTCCCGTTTTTATCAGCCTCTCCTAAATTTTAAAGGACCCTTAAGCTTGATAGGTGACATTTAATGACTTTTTCATTTTCACAAATCTATAAGTGACACCTAACTGTCTTGTCC